TACAGACTCGCAATCCGCGCAGCAGGAGTAGACAGCAAGGCCATGGCAAACTATCTACCTGTGGCCCTAGCGGACTCCGCCCGATCCTGGCTCCACGGACTACCCCGTGGCATGATCGGATTATGGGCGGAACTTCGTGATCACTTCATCGCCAACTTCCAGGGCACCTTTGAACGCCCCGGCACACAGTTTGACCTCTACAACGTCGTTCAGAAGTCTGGAGAATCCCTTCGAGATTACATCTGACGCTTCTCCGAACAACGCAACAAGATCTCCGACATCACCGACGACGTTATCATCGCCGCCTTCACTAAAGGCATTCGCCACGAGGACCTAGTTGGCAAGTTCGGACGTAAACCTCCCAGTACGGTTAAGCAGATGTTCGAAAAAGCCAACGAGTATGCCAAAGCCGAAGATGCTATCACCGCATCCAAACAGTCGGGCACCACTTGGAAGCCAAAGAAGGACACGCCGACTGCAGGGGGGAGTGGAAGTAACAACCACAAGGATCGCAAGCGTAAGCCCGAAGAACTTGTGGCGACCACCTCTCCATCTTCCCGACAACGTCCCCGCGTCAACACCTTCGACAAGATAATGAACTCCCAATGTCCGCATCATCCCAACTCCAACCACGTGGCCAAAGATTGCTTCGTCTACAAACAATTCGCGGAGCAATACGTCAAGAACGCACGCAAACCTGCAGACGGAGATCAGGGCACATCAAAGAAGAAAGATGATGAAGACGATGCCCCGACTGGTTTTCAAGATCATCGCAAAGAACTTAATCACATCTTCGGCGGACCCCTGGCTTATGAGTCCAAGAAAAAACAGAAGCTAACAGAACGGGAGATCAATGCGGTTCAGCCTAACACGCCCCAATATCTTCGGTGGTCAGAGACAGCAATTAAGTTCGACCGCTCAGATCATCCCGACCGAGTGGTCCACCCGGGGCGGTACCCCCTGGTACTAGACCCAGTGGTTCGCAATGTCAAGCTCCGACGGACTCTCATCGATGGTGGCAGCGCACTCAACATCCTTTTCGCTAAGACCCTGGACGATATGCAGATTCCTCGCACGGAATTAAAGCCGAGTAATGCACCCTTCCATGGTGTTATCCCAGGATTGTCAGCTACACCACTCGGCCAGATCACTCTTCCAGTTACCTTCGGCACTCGGGAGAATTTTTGCACAGAAAATGTTTGTTTCGAAGTCGCTGATTTTGAGACAGCATATCATGCTATACTCGGACGACCAGCTCTAGCCAAGTTCATGGCTGTCCCGCACTACACTTACATGATGATGAAGATGCCTGGTCCTCGAGGGGTCATATCACTACGGAGCGACATCAAGCAAGCCGTCACATGTGACAAAGAAAGTTGCGAGATGGCTCAAACCCACGAGACCACTCTCGCCCGCGAAGAGATCCGACTGGCTGCGACCACGGCAAGCGATGGAGAAGTGCCTGCAACCAAGCTGACGAAGACCGAAGAAAGCGATGCCAAGACGAAAAAGATTCCCTTAGATCCCTCCGATCTTGACAAGATTGCTATAATAGGCGCTGAGTTAGATTGTAAATAGGAAAGCGCGCTCATCACCTTTCTTCAGAATAATAAAGATAATTTTGCGTGGAAACCATCCGATATGCCTGGTATCCCTAGAGATGTGATTGAGCACTCTTTACATGTTAAGGAAGACGCCAAACCCATCAAGCAACGACTCCGCCGTTTTGCACAGGACAGGAAGGACGCGATCAAGGAGGAATTAACCAAGCTGTTAGCAGCAGGCTTCATTAAGGAAGTCCTTCATCCCGACTGGCTGGCTAACCCAGTCCTGGTTCGGAAAAAGACGGGGCAATGGCGCATGTGTGTCAATTATACCGACCTCAACAAATCTTGTCCCAAAGACCCTTTTGGGTTACCTCGCATTGACCAGGTGGTTGACTCAACGGCTGGCTGCGAGTTACTCAGCTTCTTGGACTGTTACTCGGGATATCATCAGATTCGACTAAAAGAATCCGACTGCTTGAAGACCTCGTTTATTACGCCCTTTGGGGCCTACTGCTACATCACCATGCCCTTTGGATTGAAGAACGCAGGAGCAACCTTTCAACGCATGATTCAAAGGTGTTTTTCAACTCAGATCGGTCGTAATGTTGAAGCCTATGTTGATGATGTAGTCGTCAAGACCAAGCGGAAGGATGACCTGATTGCGGATTTAGAAGAAACTTTTACAAGCATTCGTGCTTTCAAGATGAAACTAAACCCGGAAAAGTGCATCTTCGGAGTACCGTCAGGGAAGTTGCTCGGATTTATGGTATCTCAAAGAGGCATACAGGCCAACCCAGATAAAATCAACGCCATCCTCAACATGAAACCGCCAAGCTCCCAAAAAGACGTCCAAAAGCTGACTGGTTGCATGGCGGCGCTCAGCCGGTTCGTCTCACGACTCGGCGAGCGGGGGATGCCTTTCTTCAAGGTGCTGAAGAAGACTGACAATTTCCAATGGGTACCCGAAGCACAGAAAGCCTTTGAAGACTTCAAGAAACTCCTCACCACTCCACCAGTTTTGGCCTCGCCACATCCGCAAGAGCCGCTACTGTTATATGTGTCAGCGACCTCCCAGGTTGTGAGTACGGTCCTGGTTGTCGAGCGTGAAGAGGAAGGCCATATTCAAAAAGTCCAACGACCAATTTATTTTGTCAGTGAGGTTTTAGCCAACTCCAAGACAAGGTATCCTCAGGTTCAAAAGTTATTATATGGTGTCTTAATTACCATCAGGAAATTATCTCACTACTTTCAAAGTCACTCGGTCACGGTGGTCACATCGTTTCCACTCGGGGATATACTTCATAATGCGAAGCAAACGGACGGATTGCGAAGTGGGCCTTAGAATTGATGTCTTTGGACATATCGTTCAAACCACAAACTTCGATCAAGTCACAAGCTTTAGCTGATTTCCTTGCCGAGTGGACCGAGTGCCAATAAGACATGCAAGAGGAAAAGATGGAATATTGGACTATGCATTTTGATGGGTCGAAGAGGCTTACAGGCACTGGAGCTGGGGTTGTTTTAATCTCCCCGACTGGAGAAAGATTGAGCTACGTATTGCGGATACATTTTTCTGCGTCCCATAACGTGGCGGAATACGAGGCGCTACTCCATGGATTAAGGATTGCAATCTCTTTAGGCATTCGCCGATTAATCGTCCGTGGAGACTCTTAGTTGGTTGTTAATCAAGTCATGAAAGAGTGGTCATGCCTAGATGACAATATGACCGCTTACCGACAAGAGGTATGCAAGCTGGAAGATAAGTTCGATGGACTCGAGCTCACCCATGTCCTTTGACATAACAACGAGGCAGCCGATAGACTGGCCAATTTTGGTTCAAAACGGGAAGCAGCCCCTTCTGATGTGTTCGTTGAGCATCTTTATGAACCAACCGTGCCCAGAAAAGAAGCAGTTGAAGCCATGGATACTCAAGGCACAAGCATGCTTGAAGCCGACTGGAGAGAACCTCTCATAAAATTTTTGACCAAACAAGAACTCCCTCAAGACAAAAATGAAGCCGAGCGGATTTCCAGGCGTAGCAGACTTTACATTATTCACGAAGCTGAACTGTACAAGAAAAGTTCATCCGGAATACTGCAGCGCTGTGTATCTTTGGAGGAAGGGAGAATTGTTGAAGGATATACATTCTGGTATTTGTGGTAATCATGCTGCTGCACGGACTATCGTCGGCAAAGCTTACCGACAAGGTTTTTTCTGGCCTACAGCTGTGTCCGATGCGGACAAGATTGTGCGGACATGCGAAGGTTGTCAATTTTTTGCCAGACAAACTCATTTGCCAGCCCAAGAGTTGCAAACCATCCCGTTGTCCTGGCCGTTTGCGGTCTGGGGGCTTGACATGGTCGGCCCATTTAAAAGGGCAGTCGGCGGTTACACGCATCTCTTTGTGGCTATCGACAAATTCTCCAAGTGGATTGAGGCTAAACCGGTCATCACGATCACAGCAGATAAAGCTAGAGATTTTTTCATCAACATTGTGCATCGGTTTGGGGTACCTAATCGGATCATCACTGATAATGGCACTCAATTCACTGGCGGAGCATTTAAAGACTTTTGTGAAGACTTCGGCATTAAAATTTGTTATGCCTCCGTGGCACACCCTATGAGTAACGGACAAGTTGAGCGTGCTAACGGCATGATACTGCAAGGGATCAAAGCACGAGTTTTCGACCGATTACGCCCCTATGCTGGCAAGTGGGTAGATCAGCTGCCGTCCGTACTTTGGTCTTTACGCACTACTCCTAGTCGGGCTACCAGCCAGTCGCCGTTCTTTTTGGTTTATGGCGCAGAAGCAATGTTGCCGAGTGAAGTGGAATTTGAATCACTACGATTTCGGAACTTCAACGAGGAGGGCTATGAAGAGGGCCGAGTAGACGACATCAACCGACTAGAAGAAGCCCGAGAAGCAGCTTTAATTCAATCGACTCGATATTTGCAAGGGCTTCGCCGTTATCATAATCGGAATGTTCGATCGCGAGCCTTTTTAGTCGGTGACCTGGTTCTGAGGAAAATTCAAACAACACATGATCGGCATAAATTATCTCCCTTATGGGAAGGACCGTTCATAATTGCTAAAGTCACTCGGCCGGGTTCTTATCGACTCAAGCGCGACGACGATACTCTCATCAACAATTCTTGGAATATTGAACACCTTCGTCGATTTTATGCTTAGGCATCTCGTTTGTATCTTTCCTCTTTGACTGTTAACTTCAAGTTTTTCCTCGAAGTTTTCAGTCAGGGGGCTACTATAATAATAATGGAGTATGATTTTTATCAATTCAATTTGCTTACTTGATGTATCATTGCCCTGTTTGATTTCTTGGCTTAGTCAATGAGGACTGAAAGTTTTTTAACAACTTTTGCGGGTTTTAGGCTCAAAAAGGTTCAACAAAAACTTTTAAGAAATCAGGAACTAAGTTAAGATATCAAGCACAGCATAAATTCATCAGTATTGTACAAATTGTGCCTCCATCATCATTAACCATTAACATCATTGGTACATTAATCAGTATCAGTTTTTTCATCATCAGAATTATCAGGACCAGTCGGTCGAAGATCGGTGTCCTGAAATCTCTCAACTACATCAACTGCTATCTTATCAGCAGATTTTTGTGCATCGCTGATGAGGTCAAGAGCAGCTTCTTCGCTCGTCCCGTCTGCAAAGCCATCAATGGCATCAACGTCAACCCTCGGATAAAGAGATTTGGTCATCGCCAACGCCAGACTTGCTCCCATACTTCCAGCCTCTTTGATGTTCTTGAAATATGTATCCGGAGCAACTCTCAGCTTGTCGAAAATTTCAGAAGCATCAAGTGCACTCGGGCCGTTGTTATTGAAGAACATCGCTTGAACAATTGGGGCAGCAGCGTTAGCAACCTCATCCCGGGCTCCTTCAAGTTTTTTGATCTTGCCAACCAGGACGTCGAATTGAGCTTGAGATTTGATCTTGCGGTCTGCATCAACAGATTCACATTAATGATTCAGCATATGGAGGATAATGACTTTTGAGGTATTGATTGTTGATACCTTCAACTTCCTTTAGAGCCAGGTCTCTTTGTCTTGCCAGTTCTGCCTTGTCATTTTCAAGAATTTGAATCTGCTTCTCCAACTGAGATATCTTGGCAGCTTGCACTACATTGATTACGGTTAATCAAGATTGAAAAGATAACAGCATGAGTCAGTCAAGCAGAGTTTGTGCGTACCTTTTGATGAGCCACTCAGTTCAAAATTTGATTCCTGGAGCTCAGCGATCCGATCCCTCAGATCATGTTCATTCTTCCTGGCAAGCTCTTTCGCTTCGTGCAGTTGATTCCTGGTGGCTTCGAGGGTCCCAAGATGAGGGACTAACCTCTCTAAGGTTACCGTTTTGGCTTCGTTCCTAAGATGAATCCTCTACAAGACAGTTTAATTAGCGCATGAATTAAATGGCAAACAAGATGGTTGAGATCAGGTACCAGAGGGCTTACATTTACAATGCGGGTTGCCTGACCAAGTGCCTTCTTCAGCAGGCATAACTCTTCGTCCTCTTTTTGCTTATTTATCACGATCCCTTGAGGTTGCATGTTGTCATCCCACCACTTGACCAGAATCGGAGGGCGTGAATCCTCAGCTACTTGTATCCGGAGGATCTCTTCTTCATCACCAATTATTGGCCCTAGTATACCCATGAACGAAGATGAAGCAGCCAAATAAAGTCTGTTGGATCAAAATGATTTCAGATGGCATGTCTACCTATGATGATTCCTTGTCGGGGACGAGTGGATTTTGGTGTCTTCACGGAAGATCTGGTTTCTGATTCATTGTCAGCATCCTTCCCGAGAGGACTGTTCGTTTGAGCTTCAACCTCGGGAATCTTTTGTCTTGGCCCTGCATTCGACTGGTTTCCAGTCGGGGGCTCCTGGTTAGCACCGATTTCAGCTTCGGCCGACTGGTTCCCAGTCGGGGGCTCGTTGCTGGGTTCTACATTGTCGGTTGCCGGTTGTTTGTCACTCGGACGATCCTCTGCAGTCGGCCCGGTTTCTTTTGAAGGGTTTGCTTCTATGCCAGCCGGCTCGGGGTCTTTTTCAGAAGGATCTATGTCAGACGGCTTCCTACGAGTTTGAGTTATGCTGTTAGTATTATTTCAACAGTGGGTAAACTGCAAGACAAGGAAGATGGCCAAATGATTTGTACCTGGAAAACTTTTTGATTTTTGGCAAAGGACGGCTGGAGGTTTTCTTCTTTGGATTAGTTGGCTTTGGGGATTTTCCGGTCGCTCCTTTGTCTCCGAGCCTTCCGGTATCATCGCCTTCCTCGTCGCTTAGAACCAGCTTCCTCTTGCGGGCATCTGACTGGCCGACTGGATCGGAAGCACTTAGTCGAGTGTCAGATCGAATTTTTGGTCCTCCACTCGCCTGACCAGTCTGCTGGCGAGGTGATCGGCATTGAGCAATTGGAGGATCTGATTTCATCAAAGCAAATTCCTGGGCATGATATTTCGAACTTTCAATTAGCTTAATAGAGGGTAAAAGTATACTTTTGAGGAAGGTTGAAATGTTTGAGTGCATACCGGTGGAGGAGGGTTGAATGCATTAAATGGCACAACGGGCAGCAGATGTGAATAGCTGACAACAATAGCGTTTGAGAAGATCTTGTACATTCTTTCTTTCATGACCTTAAAGTCAAGAGAATCTGGATCTTCCCGATTTGGATCATGCTTGCCATCAAACTCAAAAGCTGTGCGGGATCTTTCTTTGATTGGAGCTAACCGACACTTGATAAAGTGCCGGGTGATTTATTCTCCTTGAAGGCCCTGTTCTTTCAGCTTTATCATCCTATCCATCAGTTCTACTGCTTGTGCAGCTTCATCTCCCATTGGCAGTGAGTTCCAAGTATCACGATAAACTGGAGGAAGACAGGAGTACTCGGGAAGGACAGGCTCGGGGTTTTGAACATAAAACCAGTTTGCGTGCCAGCCTTTATTTGAGGTCTTGAAGGGCATGGAGAAGTATTTTTGGCTCAGTGTTCCCCTGAGTTGGAAACCAGCACCCCCAACGACGCATGGTTTGCTCTTATTTGGCTGGGGCTTGAGGAAAAAGATGCGGCGGAACAAGGCGAAATGAGGCCTAATGCCTAGAAAAGCTTCACAGGCATGGATAAAATTGGCAATATGCACTATGGAGTTTGGGTTCAAGTGATGCAAGCTAATCCCGTAGAAGTTCAGAATCCCCCGGAAGAATCTTGAGGTTGGAAGAGAAAATCCGCCATAGAAGAAATGAGCAAATACCACGATTTCGTGTGTGTCGGGGGTCGGGAATGCTTCGCCGAACGTCGGTCGCCATCCGATAATCTCCTTAGCTGGGAGAACGCCGTGCGCCACCATCTCCTTCAGATTATCTTCTGTCACATCGGAGGGCGCCCACTGACTCTCGAAGCTTTCTTTTTCTTCCGCCATGAATGTGAACTAGATGATTTGATTTAGTTCAAGATACGGCTGGAAAGGGATGGGGAATCGGAGCGGTGGATGCGGGGAGAAATTTCGTGAAGTTTTTGAGGATGGATTGGAGCGGATTGATGAACCTAACTTCGTCGGCGCGGTTCTGTACTGTAGCACGGAGTGGGGAATGGCGAGAGTCTCGGCGGGGAAGACGAAGCGATGTTTGGACTTCGGTATTTTTAGGGTATCGGGAGTACTAATGGGCCTAGGCCTGTACAGTACTTCAGCCCAATTATGTTTTCAGCGTGGCCTGTTGTGATCCCTAGGGACTTAGGCGCTTTTTGCTTTAGCAATATGTGCTCACAATGACACGGCCCGATGCTGTTAAAATCCTTTTTAACGCGATTCAATAATTCTTTGGAATTATTATGATGCACATGAAAAGGTGCCCGACAGAAAGGTGTTATACCATTTTTGTAAGCTTTTTTAGGCTACAAGAGCTGTTGGATTAATTTGAGATGACTGGTTTATTAGTAGTCATTCTCCTAGCATGTTATATGCTTATTTTGATTATGGTAAGGGTTATAGCCTAGGCTAATGAACTTCTTAATTACCATGATCTTTATCGTATTTGGTGGATCATTTTAAGAGTTTCTTGCTCGGATTCCTACCAAATATATCTATTTTTGGACCTTTTGAGTGTTTGTCACTCGGCCCTTCTTGTATTTTTTGTCCTTGATATATTCAAATTAAGAAGCAGTCGGCTGGGTATCTTACTAAGTACCATGTGTGCTTCGCTATAAAACCACTCGGCTCTTGACTATATGTTTAGTTTTTCAACTAATCACATAGTCGGGGGCTATACCTAATTAGGTGCATCTACTCGATGCACCATGTTTTATTTTCGCCCTTCACAGTCTTTTAGCACTCGGCAAGCCGGAGCAAGTTGAATTGAAGCACTCGAATTATTGTTTTTTGTTTCGAGAAGACTATTTTGGTCAACTGTGAAGGTCTCGGGGGCAACTGTGGAGATTATGGTTACCCCAAATCCACATGGCGGTTACATTCCAGTAGATAGAATATCTTTATGCGGACTCGGGTTAGATTCTAAACTTGTATGTCAAGAAGATACCAGGGATCCTAATCGGTTACGATTGTATTTTATCTGTAATCCCATGTTCCGTTAGGATATGGGCTGTACTTTGTAATACGGATCCCTTCCCCTATATAAGGAGGGGTCCGGGTTCCTCTCGGAACGATTCTTTTTCTCTCAATCACACAATCAATAACACACTCGGCGGAATCATCCCCGGACAGGAGTAGGGTATTACTTCTTGAATAAGAAGGCCTGAACCTGTATAAAATTCCTTGTCTCTAAACCCATCCACTTTCCTAGCTTGATAGCCACCCCCTTTTATTATTGCCGAAATCTTGTTTCGACACAAATCGAGCATAACATCTGTGATAGCTGCAATAAGAATTGAGAAGAGAGTCGTACCTCCCCAACGCAAGCTGGAGCAAAGACGAGGTCCCTGCGGGAAACTATTATGCGATAGGCGACGACAATATGGCATCACCTTCCCTGGTTCCTCCCCTCTGCAGAACAATTGCAATGACGATAACCTAGAATGTGGAGTTCGAGATATAATCTGCCGAGTTCTTGGATTAGATTCCAGAATAAAACACGTAGATCTGGTGACGAATCGAAGAGGGCACACCAATGGTTAAGGAGCAGCGTCGCAGGCGCGTCGGGGATGGGGATGGGTAGAGGCAAAGGAAGTTGAGGGGAAGAGTGAGAGAACATGGTGGGAGAGGAGACGGTGGTGGCGTTGAGGTGGAAGGAGGTAGCGAGCAGCGTCGGGCTGTTGCCTATCGAATGGGAGGTGGAAACCGGAGGACGAAGCGGCTCCACGAGTAGGGATATGGGAGGACTTCATTTGTGAAAGAAGTTTCCTCAAGGGTGCAAATGAAATTTCACCAATTGAGAGATCAAGCGGCATGCATGGTTTAGAGGAGTAATCGGACGATCCATGTTTTCTTAATGACGTGGCGTGATATTTTTGTGTGAAGGGTTTCACTTTTCACTTATTTAAAGATTTGAACATCAAGGATACATGGTCCTTTGTTGCTGGCCATGCTAAAACATTACTACATGATTATAAGTCTATTAGATATTACAGGTAGAAACCATGTTTGCTCTAGAGACATTAGTTGGGAAAAAAATAAAGATCTTAAGCTCCCGATCATTATATGTTCAATACATGGCGGTGTAGATTGATCAATATAGATATTATATAGAAAATACAATTGTATCTATAAAAGCTAAGAGTTATGTATGTAAGAAAAAAAGATTATATCTATGAAAATATAAGCTAAGAGTTGTATATTTTAAGAGTGAATTGCATGTTGGACTATATTTTCTTACCCATGTTTCACAATGAACTAGGTGTTATCAAACATTTTCACTTTCAACCAGCCATAGTTACTTGAGCATGCAATTTGGACTAGAGGCCCACATGTAAGCCAGACCAGGTGTCTCTCCCTCTTCTCCTTCTTTCTTCCTCCTCTAGACCAGTCATCCCCATCCCCACTATCGCTGCCTCCACTTCCCTTTCCAGCCTGCCTATAGCGGTCTAGCTGCCCATCTGTTGTTACCCTCAAGCTTGAGCATCTAGATTAGGAGCTCATGACTAGATCAAGCACTAGACCAATTCCTGCTGCCACTACTGTTGCAAGAGCAATGAGCACAACACATGGGAGAAAAAAGAGTAGCTTCGAGGCAGGGCTATCGAGGCGCCATGGAGGTGCAAGTGGAGCGATCGAGCATGGGCATGGTATGCGGAGGTCGAGCTCAAGCACAGCTAGCAAAGGTGGCCACAGATGGAGCTTGAGCTCAAGCTCAAAGGCAACATAGACAGAGCTCCTCTCTTCAAGGCCATTCCCCGTGGTTTTCAATACCTCATGCCAGTGGTGTTGTACTCATCTTCTGGCTTGACCCAATGTCAGTGCCAAAGTTAGAGACAATTAGCAGCAGGCAGCAGCTTGATGTAGGAGCAAGCAGTGGCTGAGTGAAAACAGGGGATGTGGAACTGGAAATGGATAGGGTGGTCTAATGTGCAACCCAAGGTAAAAGATTCTGGTCTAAACTGAAAATGTTGGATGTGCCCTGGTCTAAAGTGCAACTTTGGTCATAATAACTAGCCCAATATGCAATTCACTCTATATAAAATTCAATCTGATTTTTTAAATGTGTTGCATAGAGAATACAATTATAGAATCAAAAGGGAAGAGTTGTAGTATATCAAATTTAATTCCTTTAAAATCTAGCTGCGCGAGGAGATCCACTCACTAGTCATGTTAACGTTTTCTTTATCATAGCAGGAACAGAGTCCTTTAGAGAGAGATGGTTAAAACCTTCCTTTGACAGAGATAAGTGAAATGAACTGAACTGCATGCAGCTATATTTTATTATTATTGGATCAAATAAGCATTTTATTCTATGGCTATGTTTTGGTTCTATGGTGAGTACATGAACATGATGATAATACTAGTACAACAGTAATCAGCAATGCCACAATAACAAGAACAGGGGATATATTATATGTTCAGCAAGACGCGTCCATGAACTCCACCAGCAGCTCCCTGACCATGCCTCTGTCCGGCATCTTGCCAGCAGCTCCGTAAATCGGAGCTCGCCCCCCGCTAATAGGCCCTGGATTTGCTTTTACCTACAGCATCGCAATTTACACAGAAAAATTAGTTACCTTAGTAGCTTCACTACAATCATATACTACTCTATCAAGACAAAACATGCATATGTTGGTAACTCACAGTGTCCACTGAATCTTTCAGATCCTTCAGGAATTCCTCATATATGACCGTGTGCTGCAGTGTCACACAAATGTGTAAACTGAAACAGAAAAAAACATCGTCAGGCTACACTCGTACATAAATACGTTACACTATGGTTATTTGTCTGAATCTGAAACCAGACTATGTTTTTGTTTTACCTGTTGGGTCTCTGCAGAGCATTAAGGTGCCAGCCTTTTGATGACATTATGTCGTTCACCTCAAATATATCAACCGAATCTGAGCCAAATGCCACGACAGTCATGTCTGGCTTTCCAATCACAAACAACCCTGGGATATCTTCAATCCTGCGCAATGCATTCAATACATTTCTCTCTTTAAACACGTGCTCTCAAGAATTCAGATGCAGCACATCTACATGAAAGGGCATCTAAAGTTTGCCATTTGACTATACACAATGTGCATCCCTACAATTATGAGGAATAATATTGATGTGAATGGCACTTCTGTTCAAAAAATTTCCCAAACTAACTGATACCAAAACACCACAGTAGTCAGTCTTTATATATGTTTATACTCTAGGCTTCCAAGGATGATAAACAGGCAAGTTTACCCTCTTTGTATTTTCTTCGACACTTCCATGATATGACCTGTATTTTCCATATAACCTGGAAACCAAGCACAAGTATCCATTAGAAATACTGTTCCACTACTAAACTACCACTGGACTGGTCAACTTCTGAATAAACCTGTTACCGTTCAGTCCAAGAGACGTCATAGCAGCCCAAGCTCCCGCTATCAACCCACCAGGCCTACTTCCAGCAATAGTAGGTGAAACATAGAGCCCACCAGTCCATTCAGTAACTGAAAAAAAATAAGGAAGCAAAATCCCCACATTAAACCACTATTCAAACTTTGGTTCAAGATTCGTTGCTCATGTCAGATAGTGGAAAGTAAGCCAAGGGCTACTAGGACGCAAACTACCATTTGCATTGCATGAATCTACGTTCTTCCAACCAAAGTTACCATAATCATGTAAGAAATATTCTACCCTGTTTGAACATTTTCGTGCAGTTTTGCAACATGATCATATCTGTTAAGCTGTAATAGTTATGTAACGACAACCATGATATCTGTCGAATAAATATAGAGGTCAAAATTTTATTGAGAAGTGAGAACCCCTTAAAAAGGTTTACTCAAGAGAGAAGTTTCATAGGAAATGATTGAAGCTTACCAGCAACAAATTGATGCTGAATTTGGTGGTAGTATCCAAGATGCCAGTGCCAAATAGATGGAGGGAATAATGTTAGAATATCTGAGAAAAGTAAAGAGAAAAATACTCCAAGGCTATTTTTACCTTTCTAATTTCATGATTTTTATATAGGACAATGCTTGTCCCTTTTGGGGCTAATCCATACTTATGAACATCAGTTGAGATTGATGTAACTCCCTTGACACAGAAGTCGAATGGAGGAATAGGGTACCTGTATTGCAGAGAAGTCATAGAATTAGTACACATAACATTAGTTCAATCAGAGATGTAACAATGGCCTTGACAAAATGGATGCCATATATGATTGAAGTTATAACACATCATTTCTAACAAAAGAGACATATACTTCAAGTATCTAAAACCAATAAATGGGACATAAATGAACATTAAGATAAGTAACTATCATAAGATTGCTTTAAACCAGTCCAGATTCATCAGACCTGATCTATGACTAGGGATTAGCAAAAATTTGCATATTTGTTCACTTCACATTAGCTTGGGTATTGCGATAGTAAGCACACACTTGTTCCATATGTGGTTATACATGGCCATAACCTTTGGGTTTTTAGTTCACAGTTGGTGGCAGTTCGGGACAAAATTAAAACAATCATTAACAGGCAAACCATCATGTTACATGATTAAAAAAGTGAATATTACGTAATGTTCTGGCAAGTTCTTCAAAGTTCATGCAAATGCTGAAATTACTGATAAGAAATCAGAACATCATCTGAGAACAGTCGAGTAAATCCAGATAAAGGGAACAAATGAATGGTCATGAAGGAATACCCAAGATTATAGGTGAAAAGCAATATAATACAGGTATCAACAAATTGCTTATGTAGACAGTTTGAGACCTCCTCTATTGAAATTAAAGCAATCATTAATAGGCAAACCATCATGTTGCTGTAAGAAAATGATTAAATGTGTATATTGGCGAGCTATTCAAAATTTGCTCAAGTGCTAATAATAATGGTAAGATATCATGTTATGAAGTAAGTAGGTACCCAAGCTTACGAGCGAAAGGCAATACAAATCCACCAAGGCAGAGATCAACATGCAAGCAAATGTCATATCGTGAAGCCAACTCCCCAAGTTCCTGAAGATGATCCGGGATACAAGAAATCACTGAACTTGCAGTGCACAATTTCAGTAGGAAAAAATATTTTTGGTTTTCTTTAACATAACGATGATTGATTAACATACCTCAATAGGATCAATTAAACCATGAGGAAATCCTGGTGCAGACCCCACCATCTGTGCAACAGAAAATTGTTAGGGAACATTTACATATTTACATGTACACTAAGAAATGTAAGAGTAGGAAGAAGGTAAAGGTAAAGACTAATCTTTCCTTATAAAAGGTCACAGGGTCAGAAGGTACATACTAATCTTTCCTTAGGAAAAGACAAATGCAAATATCTTTCATCTCAGGTGAATGGAGGCATCAGAACAGCTTTAAGCTAACTAGAGAAACAGGAATATGGATAAAATCTCACCATTATCGTATTTCCGTTTATACACCTTTTGAATCCTTTCACATCTGCAAGAAACTCTTTGTTCACTGGCACACGCCGCACTTTAATATTGAAATATTGAGCAGCTTTATCGTATGCAGAATGTGCTGATTCGGCAATTATCCTGTATCACAAGCCTTTATTACCATGGAGATAAGGTGATCACAATGCATAACATAATCCATCATTTATCTCACATTTCAGGCTTTGTAATGCCCTTCTTTGTTCGCATATAGTCGCGTGATGTTTTTACTGCTAATAATATGCTTTCAGTTCCGCCCGATGTCATATTACCACAAATCTGTCCACCGGATGATTTTTCTTTGATGCCAAGCAAAGCAGCTGTCATTGCAACTACTTCAGCCTCTAATTGTGCCACACTCTTGAATACGTCCTGGTGAAGTGGGTTGGTGTGTGAAAACCTGAAAGGATTAAGAATATTTATGGTAAATTAGAAGCCTAAAATTAGATGGAGGCCTATAAAAACTAGAAAAAGTTACTCCCTCCTTCCCAAATTGATCATCATATAATGAAATCCAAAATTTCTCAAATTGATCATTACATAACCGCATGGACACGGGTTTCATCAGAATACAATTAATGTAGCAAGGGAGAATGTGTACATGCTAAGGATGTAATTGGCATGATGTTTTAATCGATGCATGTATGTGGGGAGAATGTGTGCATGGTGTCTCGATTGATGTGATTTAAATTATCTTTGGTCTTGGTGCATAAATATATATGATGATCAATTGGGATGGAGGGACTACATGGTAACTTTGAAATATGAGTTATAAATAAGTCAATTCACCAAAATACTAACAGAGGCACTTGGTTTGAATCTGGAAGAACATATGTTTCCCTACTATACATTTGAAGTAATCTAGTGGACTATTTATCTTGATAGTTGAGACAGGCTGACATGAATTTTATGACGGTATTCCCTAGGGAAAAAAATAAAATTATGCAAATTACTTTTTTTCTTCCACCAACGCAACAGAGCATAAATAAAACAATAAATACACTTTATTATATACTTTCTTAAGTCGCCCTCCTATTGGAAAACATGGTGACCAATTATTGTCTATATATTCTATTTAAATAGAGATTGAGACAGGGTCAAAATCCCAAGTCTTACATAGAGTAAGCCTTGTTTATCAATGCAAAATGACCTTCGGATTCACTCCCAGCAATATAACTGCAATATTAAAAAAAAAGTTATTTGACATGCGGAATGCTAGTAATATGTGTAGAGTGTACAGCATAACGAAAAGAACCACAATAGAATGATTGAACCGTTTAATTTACTGGGTTTATTTTGTGTGAGAATTAATGGGATGCACATACACTGTGCCAGAGCATTTTCCCTGCCAGTTTACATCTCTAGCTTTCAGTGTTTCGAGATCGTTTATCACTTGGTTGGAAAGCCCAACAGTTGGCAACTCGGTCCGCAGAGTACTTTTTGTGGACGTGCCACCTGACTGCAGCTGGTCAACAACCTGTTACAATATAAGTATAGCACCAATAATGAGATATCCGGGGATATGTAGGTAGAAGTACTTTTTTTTATTTTTGTTTTGACATGAACATGGTCTTAAATCAATCGCATTCACAATGGCATTCACAATCATAAGAGAGACGGTACGCCTGGCTGAGTTGCGTGCACGCGAGCATTCCCAGTTAATGCGCGCGGCTGCATATGTCAAACTGAACGAACGTAGCATCTGAATACCCACGGAGCATTCCCATAGGAAAGAAAAAAAAAGATGAAGCAAAAAATTTAACATATGTAGGGTAGGCATATGCATATGTAAAAAAATGAGTAGAGTAGAAAAGAAAGTATTTTTATTTTTCATTTTAAAAATAAAAGCCACTAGCGAGCGATTACTACAAGAAAAGGAGAGAGAGAATTGAAGAGGTACTCAGATGCGTGTGCTGCTGACCTTCCTCTTCTCAGCGTTGATGTAGGCGCTAACTCCCGGAAGCAACCTGCGTGTGTATGTATGAACGGATAATAATAGTAATAGCAGCAACAAGTAAGAAAAGAGGAGGAGATTGAAGTCGATTAAAGCTTACTTGATGGCTGTCATGGCTAGAGCGAGGAGGACGGTGCGGAGACCGCGGTCGGCGACGGCGGCAGCGGCGGCGTGGAGGGTGCGGGCAGCGAGGAGGGCGAGGAGGGGCGCGGCGAGGAGCACGAGAGGCTCGTAGCGGGAGAGGTGGTGGTTGGCGGCGTCGCGGAGGCGGAGCGCAAAATCCATGGCGAGCTCCATGATCCGCTTCCTTCACTTCGGGCCGGGGGGATTGGGAATTGAATTGCTTTATACTAGGAGGTGATGAAGGGAAGGTATAGCCAAAGGCCAAGCCAGCAATGAGGAGAAGAGGAGCTACACGAACACGACGCCAATCCCACCCAACTTCCCAAGTAGGAGCACACACTAGTATTAAATCCACTTTCTAGAAGGGGTCCCATTCTCCGCTGCATATTTCCTTTTATTTTCACATTGATTTCATTAGGTGTAAAAAGATCTCCTCCTAATACTCTCTCTCCGTCCTCAAATTAAAGGGATTTTGACTTTTGGACTACTCGTCTTATTTAAAAGAATTATGCAAATATAAAAAACAAAAAGGTATGCTTAAAGTACTTTTGATAATAAAGTAAGTCACAAATAAAATAAATAATAATTCTATTTTTTTGGAATAAGACGAATAGTCAAACAGTACAAGTAAAATATTAAAACCTCTTATATCAGGGGACGGATGGAGTAATATACTATTACTTCTGTCCCAAATGATTCGATGTCCTTGTTTCAAAGAAAATCAAATTCACTAACTTTAGACTAATAAAAATTATAAGTATTATGCGTTATAACACTAGATTTGTATTTTAAAGTACTTACTAACCTTTTAGTTGTTAATAAATAATATAAATAAATTAATGTTTAAAATGTTACTGAAAATCATGTACAGTAGTAGCAATAGGAGTAATTGGGCCTATCAAGATTGACCTAATTTGTGGCCACAAGTCACTCACTCAGTCAGGTCAACAAAAGGAGCCTGCCTCACAGAAGAGCGAGCGTTTAGTAGGAGTATCACCATCGATTAGGCCCAAATTATTTGACCTTCATCCATCAATATGGCTGCCCTCCTACTCCGACAGCTACAACAAGATGGCTCGCCGTGAAAACCAAAGTACAACAAATCCATCATACTTCATACGTACTACACCCACACCACACCTGGAGTATATATACTCCTATATACTCCCTCATTTCCTAAATGTTTGACACCGTTGACTTTTTTAAACATGTTTGACCGTTCGTTTTATTCAAAAACTTTTGTGATATGTGTAAAACTATATGTATACATAAAAGTATATTTAACAATAAATCAAATGATAGAAAAAGAATTAACAATTACTTAAATTTTTTGAATAAGACGGTCAAACATTTTTAAAAAATTCGATGGCGTCAAACATTTTAGGATGGAGGTAGTATATTAAAGTGACGAAAATCTGAGATCAATAAAACTCAGAGTGCCATATGCCAAAGCATGCAAATGTGCCATAATAATTCCTACTACTACTATACCCTTATTCCAGTACATCCTCCCCAAACAAACTTGCTGCAACAAGACGCAATCAGGTGTCTCTTTCTGCCCCTACGAGTTTTTTTTTACAACCACAACCGACAAACAGTATATCTCTGCAATGCATTTGTATTTGGTATATAGATTAATTAATTTCTACAAAAAATTGGCACTTCCAATAGGTGAAAGTGATGCCATGGGGCAACTGCATATTTTTCTACTGGCACCTAGTAGCTAGCAATACATATACACGTAAAGGTCAATCCAACTCCTTTGGGTAAAACCATGACAATGCCATGTATCTCAACTGGCAGAACTCTTCAAAAAACCAAACCCTCCAAACAGTCTTGAATTTGGAACATTCCTCCCAGTGGTTGGTTCCCCTGAACTTGATGACCCATTTGATAGCTCCTGGGATCCTTCTTTCATAGAACTTGCTCGGCTCAAAACACCCTGGAGATTCATGCAGGATTAAGACAACTTAAGCTGCTCAGTTTAGGGCATACACACTCCTTACGTTCTGGTTTGCATTTAGTGCTATAGAGTTTTGGAAGGTAACAACAATGGCACACCTAGTCGAGCAACGAAAAGTGATAAAAGCTCGGGCATATTGCCAGAAAGTATAACGCAGACTCACTATTAATGTGTTCACTCAAGCATAGTCAATACACCATCGTCTTTGTAAACAGCTAGTATTTCCAATGTCTATAATCATCAGGCGAAGTGCTTCATCTTTCCCAGCGTAAGCATTAACACTTAATAGGCCATGAGTCGCTCTATTCAATTTAAAAGCATGTTAGATGATATTACCCTTTTAGGTGGCATTGATGTTTCAACTAGCATACTCAGTCCTGATGCCGACATAGTTGTAGGAGAATGCACAACCTGCAAAAGAAAAATAATTAGATGCAATAACCCAGGTCAAACATGTCCTCAGACACAAAACCAGACCTGACCTTAGATGCCTCTGTTACAGGTGATCGAGGGCCAGAAAACTCCGGTTCTGAACTTGGAGGCAAAGAAGCAGCCTGTGGTAAGAAAATAAAAGGTCAGATAATCCAAATCATGTTAACATTCAAAAAGGTGCACAACTTTACCCTTGTAATTCTCTCTGGCAATTCAATAGCTGGAAGAGGAGTTGATGATAAGACCTGGAAATCGATTAAGAAAAATCAAGACTATCAGTATAGAAGGATGATATAAGAAAGCTTCATGGTGCCACTTAATACATCGTAATTGGTATCACGCCAGAAACTGTGTCGAGGGACATTGCCTGAGGGATATCTCATGGATCAAAAGAAATAGATTAAAGTTGGTCATGTAGGAGCCATATCATAACTTATAATGCCAAATCAATGTCTGAGCAGTCATTTTACACAATCTATCAGAAACTCATGTGTAAGTGTATGCCTTTTTATATCAATAATGTTCTAGTATGGGATCGTAAGGGAATAGAAGTTCAGGCTAGCAACATAGCAAGGTCTGCCAAAAATAGCTTTTGGGCATTGTGCTAACTTGCCTGACGAGTATCAGTTTTGGGGCTCTTATCCAGCCTTTTAGTGAACTCGCATAAGTCATAAATTCCTCGTGCTGTACGATCCTAAGACATTTCAGTAAAAGAGGTTAGCAAAATGCATATTTCTGGGGGTAAAGCAAGTTATATTGTTGCAAACTCTTAATTACTTGGGTATATGAAAGACGTCCAAGCTTTGTCTCCTGTAGTACAAGGGAAGAAGTCAGTTTCCATCTAGCACCAGTGAGGAAAAGAGTTATCTTGAAAAAGAAGTGTATGCGGAATACAAGGCACCTACCAGAGTACGAACCACAAGATGAACTGATTGCATTTCCTCCTGGAAGGCACTTATATCTTCATGGATGACTGTAACCTATTGAATTAATTTTGTATCAACCTCCAATAAACTATATAAAATCCTATTAACATAATGCTTGAGCATTCAAACCTCTTTTCTTGTGGATTCTGTAATTTCCTGGCATTCATCTAAAGTACAATCTACATGATCTATTCTTCCTGCCAGATGCCTCTTTGCAGCCTGATATCAGAAGATTGCACATAAACACGAATTTGAATCAAACAGTGGGAGTAAGCACACGCAGATGCAACAGTATAACAAAGCTAGCCTCAAAATGTTCAGAGGCATATCTAGTGGGAGGTGGGAATCATAGATTCTGTTTTGTTTTCTCAGGTTAACTTTTCTTGTTTGGTCCAAATAGGTCAAGAATGCTTAATAGAATTATAAAGATGCCATATACAAAAACAACACATAATTGTAAATGTTCATATCCAAGAAAGGTCATCCTGCAAATCCAAGGTATTCTAACCATGTGGACATATCTGGTGAAAACCATCAAATAAGTGAAAACCGGACCTAAAAGTTCTCTAAATTCATGAAAAAAAAACTAGAGGCAACATTCCCACCAAATCTTAAGTAAAAACTCAACTTCATTTGGGAGGAACAAAAAAGACAAATTTCAGGTGAACAGTAATAGGAAACTGTTATGAATTTAGATTCGGTCCGGTTTTCACAGGTTTTCATTTATTTGATGGTTTTCACTAGATATTTCCCCTTTAACCATTTTAATTGAGCGGCCTGATGTGTACTCTCTCATTTGAGGTGGCAGTCCAATAGTGATTGACATACAGTATGCCACAAACTTTAACGGGATGTTAAAGGATTGAACTCCATTCAACAAACAACAGTTCCAACTTCCCAAAGAGAGAAATATAGGATCATTGCAGTATGCATGTAAAAGCTTCAAATAGTGCAATATTCATATTCCAGTGAACGAAGGAGAAACTTACATTAACATTCTCTGAAACATGTTCCAACTGTTTGCCAACCACATCGCAGGCATCAGATAAGCCACGCTTCGTCACAAACATCAAATCAGAAAGTTTCCAACCCTGTAAATCACCGAGTTAGCTTGATTGCCCCATTTTGTGGATTATGACAGTTGCCCTAAAATGAAAAGGAAGGAGAGAGAAAAAGAGAAAACTTTGCTTGTCTGATAGTCTAAGATGATGTGTTTATAATTGTTCAATAGCACCCTTCTGCCAAGTTGAGAATCAGTGATTACTTTTACCTTCCACCTTATGTATAAATAGCCGATAGCCCCAGCAACAACAGCTGTTATACCATAAGCACCAGGGCCTGCAAAAGAAAGAATTTGTCAGCGTTAGTATAGAAGACAATGAAGTAGCTGCAAAAATTACATACAAAAATTTGGTGTCCAAAAGGGCATCAAACGATTTCACGAGCAAGTTTCCATAAATTAGTTAGATCAGAAAATGGGCTTAATGTATTCCTCCAAGATAATGGTTGGCAGGAAAAACGATATGGACGGTAAAGAAAACATAAATATCACTAGGTTAATAGGTTATGGTTAATAATTCCAGGAAAAAAGCACACTGCAGATACAACAGAACAGAGAAGAATGGGAGAGACCTGGTCTACCATCGACGGTGACAATAGCAACTTGATTTGACCTGGACAAAAGTTGGAGGTCCTCTCTGAGATGATTGACCTAATAGTTAGATGAGCAGTGGGTTAATCATGGAGCCATCCAGCGATGAAGTACAGTAAGAGATGACGAGTGGGAGACCTGAGATAGCAAGTGAGCAGCGTGAGGGCTGCTGGTGGATGGGCCATCCTTTTTGTCTTGCTTGGTCACAAACTAGAGAGCAGAGCAAAGGAGCAAAGGAACCTTTTATGTCTTAAATAAAAGAGTAAATTTCACAAAACTACATATTTTGTGGTACAAGTTGCAGAAAACCACACGCACTTTGACACTTGGCACTTGAGTACATATATTTTGGTCGTGTAGTTTCACAAAACTACATTATCGATGTATAGATTCACCCGCGAGATGATGTGGCTGTTTCACCTAGGACGAGGACATGGCATCCTATTACCAGCCATCGCACGAAATTAATATGATGCCACGTCCTCATACTAGATGAAACAACCACGTCGTCATATCACAAGTGAATCCATTCATCGATAGTGTGGTTTTGTGAAACTAAACTACCAAAATATATGTACTTAAGTGCCAAGTATCAAAATATGTGGTTTTCTGCAACGTGAACCATAAAATATGTAGTTTTGTGAAATTTACTCTAAATAAAAACAAAATACTACTGAAAGGAAGGAATGATTGAAATTGAAAGAAAAAAGAACAACCTTGAAGGCACCAGAGAGCACATCCCTAAAATCGGGGAGCGCAATCTTGGCCTCTCCGCTGGTGAGTAATGTCCCAACGATTCCTGCAATTTCCAAACAAGTAAAGCTAATCGAAGCTACTCCAGTAAATGAAGCAACAAACAGGAGCAGGAGCGAATCGAGCTAGAGGCTAACGAGAGAGAGGGGGGATTGGGCCAAGCTACCCTATACATACAGATTAGACGCACAGAAATCGCGAGAGTGGATCCCTACCGGAGCCGATGACGATGACGATCTTTCCCAGCACCATGGCGACGGCGGCTGCCACGATCGTCGTCGGAGCAGCTAGGGTTTCGAGACCTCACCTCCGACCCGACGCCGAGCAGCCGCAGCGGATCCGGTGCTCGTTCGCATCGCCCGTGGGATCTTGCCTGGACGACCCAGATTCTTCCTCACCACCTTTGGCCTATCATCAATTCCACACCACCCCGCCCCCCCCCCCCCCTCTCTCTCTCTCTCTCTCCTCTTTTTCTTTAGCCCTTTCAAACTTTTTTACGGCATGGAAATATATTTATATTTACACGAATGTTGGATTGGCATATAATTATAATCATAAGATGACATATTAATTCTCTCTCTCTCTCTTTCTTTTGCCCTTTCAAACTTCTTTTTAAGGCAGGGAAAGATTCTATTACATGGGACAACCTATTATATGCCACTGACTTTGTCACACATCTACGATTTGCCACTAACTTTATCACGTTCTACAATATGCCATCGACTTTTTCTTAATTTCTACAATTTACCATCGCCGTCCAGTTAGCCTCCATTAGTACCGTACAAATTTGTCGAAATGGCCAAAATACCGTTAAGACAAAAACTTCCAAAATTTGGATAAAATAATCGAAATATCAGATTTCAAGTTTTTGGCCAAATTTTGGATGTTTACAATCTTAAGTTTATAATATGATAGCAACCTCACACAGAACTACCCCAGATTTCAGCAATCTCATTTATCCACGTTGCAAATGATATATCAAATTTTCAGCTTAACTCAACAATTGGAATTGACTGTTCATGTGAAATACATACACCATAATTTACTTGTGCTGATACCAAACTGGTAGGCGGCCATTTGCCCGAGTTCATTCACAAATAAGAATTTTCTTATTCCATTTAGGGTGGTGCAGATACGAAGTTAGTTGATAAACTTTGCATATGGCATGCAAGCAGCGAGTATTTCAGAGACATACCAAGACCAGCAAGCTTAACTAAGGGTGTGTTTGAGGAAAAGGGGATTGAGGAGATTGGGAAGATACGCAAAACGAGATGAGCCATTAACTCATGATTAATTGAGTATTAACTATTTTAAATTTCAAAAATGAATTAATATGATTTTTTTAAAGCAACTTTCATATAGAAAATTTTTGCAAAAAACACACCATTTACACACCATTTAGTAGTTTGGGAAGCGTGCGCGCGGAAAACGATGTGCATTATCACTCCCTATCACCCAAACGAACACATCCTAAGTCGAGTAAACATAATGAACCTAATCTAAGCTATCATCTACAGCTTGAAATTCAAGTAACATAATCAGAAACAGAACCAATCATCAGTCAATCACACATAAAGAACTCAGATCATGCAGGAACAAGGATTGGGGGTGTAATAAAACAATGTCGATAGCGAACAGACTACTACATTTTCTCAGCACTTATCATTAAACAGAAAATCACAGGTAACTCTGGCAAAGCCCAAAAAGACTAGCAAAAAGTACTGGCAACAGTGCAAGGCAATAGCTCGAGCACACTGAGATGGGTTCAGCACTCAACGGTTCGCCTTGGCAACACGCTCAATCTCATCCTTCTTCTTGATGGCATAGCTGTAACATATCAGAATTAGAGCATGGATGTGTCAGTAGCCTCATTTCATCAAATGAGAAGCAAGATTTACCTGTTGGATGAGCCCTTGGCGGCATTGATGAGCTCATCAGCAAGGCACTCAGCAATGGTCTTGATGTTCCTAAAGGCACTCTCCCTGGCGCCAGTGGTGAGGAGGTAGATTGCCTGGTTGACCCTCCTCAAGGGAGAGATATCCACAGCCTGCCTCCTCACAGCGCCAGCAGAGCCGATACGGGTTGCGTCCTCACGCGGGCCGCTGTGAACAACAATCATGCTTGTTTATTTGTGTTCATTTCATTCAGTGATAGTAGTAAATTGTCACATTAGACATGTAACACAAACATTTTCGTATGTACTACTCGTACCAAACAATATATATATATATATATATATATATATATATATATATATATATATATATATATATATATATATATATATATATATATATTCCCGTCTTGATTTTTGGCTAGTAAGATAACATTAATTGCACGGGCAAAATAGAGGAGTGTATTTTGGGATAGAAGTATTTGTAAAAAGAAAAAAAATACTACAGTTATGAGCATTTGCATATAAGAGTGAGGGTGGGGGTGATTGGACAGTGATAAGCATTTGCATATAAGAGGGTGAGGGTGATTGAAAAAAAAGTGAATTGGACAATTGAAGTGCGCAACTGAAAGGAATTGGGAATTGGACGGTGGTACCTGTTGATGATGGCATCTACGATGACCTGGATGGGGTTGGCGTCGGTGAGGAGGTGGATGATCTCCATGGCGTGCTTGACGATGCGGACAGCCATGATCTTCTTGCCGTTGTTGCGGCCGTGCATCATGAGGGAGTTGGTGAGGCGCTCCACGAGGGGGCACTGCGCCTTGCGGAAGCGCTTCGCCGAGTAGCGGCCAGCCGTGTGCGGCAGGTAGGTGGCGTGCTTCGTCGAGGACACCGCGAGGTAGTCGGCGAGGGATATGTCGTTCACCTGCGCCAACGAGAGTTATCGACAGACCAGACGAGTACCCCTACTTGCTTACTAGTATAATGGGAGGACAGGCAAACCTGAACGTCTTCGAAGGACCAGCAGTTGAAGAGCTTCACCACCTGCTGCTGCGGCTGCTCGACCACCGCCATGGCTGCTGAGCGTGGATGCGGCGGCGGCGGCTGAGGGAAACCCTAAACAAGAGTGGGTGGAGTAGCCTAACGAGTCGCGGCGCGCGGGGGGAGATGCCTACCTTCCCTTTATAACAGCGGACTACTTGTTGGGCTGGGCCGGGCCCGGCCCAGGCTGTGCTTGGCTTCGAGCTAGGGTTTTACCATCGCCCATCGCATCGGACGGCAGGGATTTCATTTTTTTTGGATAATGGAATAGAATATCTTACAGGATCATATCGTCATGTATATTTATGTACTCATTTTCTATAATGTATTAATACAAGTAACCAGCAGCAAACGAAAATGAGACCAACATTGCTCCGACTCTATCACTGAAAGTCTGAAACCATCCAAATAGGCTACACAAAGTTCTTTCTAAGGATCAGCATATTCCTCTACAACTTGTCTGCCTTCAGCAAAATATAAAGCTAAAAATTGGCATATTCTCTCTTTGTAACTTCTGACGAAAATAAGGACCTGCTAAACTGCAGCTTCTGGCAAAAAAAAAAACAAAACAAACAAAGACCTGTCAATTGCACTCAATATTGCCACAACTGCTGCCATCGGCAAGCAGCTAGCTCTCACCACTTCCACTTGCATATCCCCCAGCATTGCATTTTGCGCTTCAACTTCTTCCACTTGCATATCCCCAGCATTGCATTTTGCGCTTCAACTTCTTCCACCAAGGGATACCAGGCCTTCCATCTCATCTTATACCAGCATAGTATCACCAGATGAAAATCATCACAGAGTTGCCATTTCACTCCATCCTAATACCTACATTACACCTCCCATCTCAACTCGACTCTTACTTGCCTTTCCGCACCGGACCATCACTTCCTTCAACACCAGGCAGCCGCAGGGCATGCACAAACATCCTCTTTGCCGCTCCAACCTGCTCCCTCTTCAGTTCATCAGGACTAACACTACTAGCAGCTCTACTGTTACTTGTACGCCAGCTCTGCTTACATGGATTCCCGGTGTGCAACCTCATTCTGCCATTCTCAACATACCTGCTATCTTCCTTGCCACCTGCTGTGCGTGGGTTTAACTTGTTCCTACTACTTTCCGCTGGCTCCTTTCCTTTGCCATTCTTCACGGCTGCTGTCTCTGTCGGGCTCTCAACTTTTTTGCCAAGTGCATGCGCGATCATCCGTTGAGCAACAGCAGGAACATGCCTAGGTTTTGCCACTGCTGTCCCATTTCCCTTGGCATCATGCGCTGAGAAGATACGCTCGCGAGCAGCTCGATAAGCAGCTTCCCTCTCCTTGAGTGACGGTGCTGGGGGTGCAACTGACTTTTGCAAAGCCTTCAAATCTGAAATAAAAGAGTTGATTGGGTTTTTTTTCAGACTTAAATTCCTCGACTGAAATTATGCAGAGAACCAAGCTTAAGGCTGCGTTCGCATATGCCGGTTCCCATCCCAAACAGTTGGCACGGAAAACGGAGCGGTCCATTAGTACATGATTAATTAAGTATTTGCTATTTTTTTCAAAATTGGATCAATATGATTTTTAAAAGCAACTTTGTATAGAAACTTTTTGCAAAAAAACGCAACGTTTAACAGTTTGAAAAGCGTACGAAAACAAAGCAATGGAGTTGGGAACTTGGAGTTCCAAACACACCCTAAGACAGTTTGAAAGACGCTTTGTTGAGAGGTGGACAGCAAGCGCAACGTACCTGCATCATTTTTCAAATGCGAGATTTCAGCAGAAATATTTTCTTGGGCATCTTCCTTCCAGGCTTCTTCAAGATCTGTTAGAAGAGAATTCAAAATGCTAATTATTAACCTGTTACACACACATAAGATTGCACAGTGCATCACATTTATACATGTAGAATAGGTTTTTCTTTGTGCAGATGGTGCACTTAGAATTTCTTGAGAGAATAATAAGAAATATCTTTTTTAAGGGAATAACAAGAAGATATCTATGGAACTGAATGTCTTATGACACATCAAACTATGCCTGTGGAACGATGAAAATGTAAGTCAAATTGACTACCCACTTCAAACTCACATGGAAAAAAATACCAGTATTTCTCCAGCTGGCATCCAGCAGCCAGCTTTACTCCTTTGTCACGCGAATCATGCTCAACGACCATACTGTGCATTTTTAATCCCTTTTTATGAGAGGGTGAAATAAATTCAGGCTAAGGCACTGCACAATGACTTCCTAGTTCCTATTTCCAGATTTGGTCACTACCATCAAGAGGAATCATTTCATAATTTTTTTGCGAAGAGAATTTCTAGTGTGCCCTGATTCTTCATTTTATCCTCCCATACTTTTTTTTAGTTTTTCTTGATCCGCTATGGACCCATTTCATTAATTAGGGAAGGTATCTTAGGGTTATGAGTAAAGGGCATTATGATTGTTTTCAGAAAAAAAAATATATTGGTCAGGTAATACAGTGGTTATGTAGGGGAACAAAACAGAGGAGGATCCAGAAATTTTCTTGAGCCCGGACAAGCCGAACAACGGATCATAAGTACACACGAATCTTCTCCATGGACCATTTACTAAAGCACAAACAGAATTGGCAGCATGGGTGCTACAGGGTAGTGTCACCCCATCAAAATGCTTCATCATGAATGATCCACAAAATGAAATTATAACAATTCACCTGTATCTTTCCTCTTCACTACAACAGATGTCGATGTATCTTTGTTGTCATACTCCCATAATACGTCGCTTACGAGGACAGGTGGGCTGCGCAATATGAAATAATAAGTAATCAGAGGTAATAGAACTACAGAATAATGTCTCATGTGTAGGTCACAAGAAAAGTGTGATTTCAGCTTCCGTGCTCTGAGTCAACACAATAGCTATGGGAGGCAAATGGCGTGATTATCTTAAAGTGTGAGCAGCCAAATGGTTCGCCACAGGTGGAACTAGGGATGCAATTGGAGCAAGACGGCAAGGAATAACAAACAAGATGTGATCATGAGTTTACGGGATAGCTTTTGTTTTATTTCCCTGAAGACAGTTTTTTGTGTGGAAACAATGTGTTTTTCTATTAACCCTTTTTTCTATTGCATTGAAGAATGATGCAGGTGGAAATTAAACTGTACATGTTTGTAGTATAAGAAACAGCGAAATGAGGGCATAGGGAGACATAAGACGACACTCAATAACAAAGAGATGTGTGGTCACTTTTGGTATCATACATGGCAGTTTCAGGGCAGCGCTGGAGAACTAAGTGTCGATCTTCACCTTCACCAACAGATTCATGAACAAACCTAGCAGCGACACAAAAGCAAGACATTAGTAGTTGCAAATATTACTCTATCCAGTTAAGTTAGTATTTGAGAAGAGGGTAGGTGAAGCAGGTCGAATGGAATTGGAAAGAGCACCCGTAGATGTCGGCAAGGCGATGCAAAAGAAGACGTTGATAGGAGCTGGCAGGTTGGAGCTCTAGGATATTCCTATTTGTCCCGCGGTATGCTGCCACTATATCGTCCTCATCCTCGTCATCGTCAGAGTTGTGGTACTGGTTCTGTAGGATCCCGACGAGGGTTTCCTCAGTAGAGAGGACGAGGTGCTTGCTGTAGAGGTTGTCCTTGATGAGTGAAGCCAGCTCCTCAACCTGTTCCAGTTTAAAGTTTCGTTCGCACAGAGCAACACAAGAACTGTAATTTTTTTAGATAATGAAAGCTTTATTGTACTAAGCCAATTACATCGATGTGATACATGCTTAATTGTATATATTCTCGTAATACATTTACTAGTGATTTACATACATGATAATCCTGAAGTAAGGAGATTGCTATAGCATAGCAGCTGTGACATGACATCGTCAGGCATGAGCAAAGAAAGATAAGAAATCGATAGATAGATAGATAGATAGATAGATAGATAGATAGATAGATAGATAGATAGATAGATACAACAAGGAAGGTATCATTATTATCAATTATACCATAGCGAATTGGTTGGCGCACATCTGGATTGGACGGCGAAATTGATCATATACTCAAAATATTCCCCCTTCTTCCTCCTCCCAAGTCCCCCTTGTACTGCCCCCCTTTCTTCCTTCTTTTCCAGCTCCCTCTCTCCCACGCTGCACCAGCTTCCTCCGTACTCCCCACTGCGCCCCGGTCTTGCCCTCCTTGCCTCTTCCCCTGCACCTGCACGGGAGGGAGAAGCGGCAGGCAGACCCCAGACGGGTGCGCTGGTGAGCTGGGTGCGCGGGCGAGCAGGGGTGGGGGGTTGTGGTGGAAGGCTTGGGATGAGCGGAGGCTGGAGCGGTGAGCAGCAGGGGCGGGTCGGCGGCCGGCGAGAGGGGCGAACACGGGCAGGTCAGCGAGGGAGCGGTGGCGCGGCTGGTATTGACTCTTTTCGACTCCTCCCTGTGACTTGTGAGGGATAAAATTAGATATCAATCGGATAAATGAATATGGCCATCCATTTACGCTGTATAAAAATATTATCATGCCTCAGATTAAAATAAGAGTCCAACTCTGCTATATATAGCTTGCTGGATATTGATTTTGAATCTTATCCCTAAACCCTAAACATGGTGTTTAAACTTTAAAATTGATGATGGTGAAGATTAAGTTTGTGCACGTAAAACGAGAAAACCAATAACATATGATTAATTAAGTTTTAGTTATTACAAACTTGACAAAGAGATATATTTGATATTTTAAAGTAACTTCTATATACTCCCTCCGTCCTAAAATATAAGAGATTTTGGTTGGATTTGACACATAAATCCTAAATGAATCTAGCTGCTAGATTCATTGTCACATTGATGGAGGGAGTAGAAAGTTTTCATGGCAACCCTCTCCTCCCCGTCCCTCTTTCCCTCCTATATGATGCATTCTCTTTTTTCCGTCTTTCGTTTCTCCAGCGCGTTTAAGGAAACCATAACCCCTTGTCCGGAAACGCATTTTGACACACTCACCTGGTCGTGTTCACCACCAGAGCTAATTGTTGTTGTTTCTATCTCCATCGGGACCATGTCATTGCTGACTGCGTTTCCACTGTTTTTTGTTTTTTCATTGCCAACTGCCACCTTCTATGGACAAGCCACCTCGTGGGACGCGTCCTGCCACCTCCCTCGTCGTCGTTTGGTCGCCGAAGCACCGACGCCGATCTTTCCTCCAATTATATTTCTCGTTTCGGCTAGCGAAGACGATGAACAGTGTTAGTCATTTTTTCTCCGTCTTTCATTCCTCCTACGCGTTCAAGAAACTGAAACCCTTTTATCCAGGAACACATTTTCATGCACTCATCCGATCGTGTTCACCAACAGAGTTCGTTGTTATTATTTCTCTCTATTGGGACCACGTCGTTGCCGGCCGTGTTCCTACAATTATGGTTTTCTTCATTATCAACCTCCACCATCTATGGATGAAACCTCCACCATCTATGGATGATTCATGTTGTGCGACACGTCCTACCACTCTCCTCACCGCCGTTTAGTCATCGGAGCACTGACGCCCATCTTCTCTTCTCTTTTTTTTTTCTCGCCTTCGACTAGGGAAGATGATGAGCAATGCTTATTCAGTACTATTCATTTCTGGTCTAGCCTAATCATGCTTATGGACCACTCACGTAATATTGAAACCATAGGAATATGAATGGAAACGGATACCCATTCAGAATTAATGGATCAAAATTTCATCTATAGGCTAAAATAAGTTTTTTTTAAAAAAAAATTCTAGCTAATTTCAGTTTTTTTTTCATTTACACTATAAGTTTTAGTACTACTTGATCCATTAAAATTGATGAAACTTATAATTTTCCTCTGTATTGAATTATTTATAGCTAAATGAAAAAAATGATTTAATTATATAATTTTCATGATATTAAATCATCGTATCGGCCAAAGTTAGTTGTAGTTTGATATTATTGTTTCTATGATTATATTTCCTTAATCATTTATCTTCAATTGTAATATATGGTTTAGGATTTTGATTTGTATCAATGAATGTTATTTAAAACCCTATGGTAGTTAGATACTAAGTTGAGACATGTAACTTCCTACTAGTTGGTTCCAAAACTTAGTACTATTAAATTTGGAAAAAAGTGATAATGAGATTTCAAATCCAGTACAACTTGTATCTATTGGTCTGAATTTAGAAATTATTTTGTCACATAAAAATATAGTTTAAATTCCACACCATGTACAACACTACATTTATTAAGTGTAAGTCCATATCGGTTATGATTAACTAATTGTTGATTTCGATTTTTCAATTATTAAAATCTCAATATCATTATTGAGAGTAAATGGAATACAACTTTGCATTTATTTATTCTAATTTTGCAATGATTCGTAGGCTTTATCAACTACCGCAAAATGGCAAACCTTTTGGGGACGCAAGACTTCTTCAACAAATACATAGGTTTTTTTTTTCCCCATTGTCAACTCCATTTTCTTCAACCGGGATAAAAAGCCCCCCAAAAAATGTCAGGGTTATGGAAAAATAGGAATTTTTAGATCGATTACAATCCCAATGGAAGTTGAATCATGACTAAAGGAATTCCTTCAATAGGGCGAATTCAATACCAACATTCAGATGGACCCTTGTGCGGTACACGGAAATTCTTCCCAAATGTTGTATTCTTATAAAAAAAAACCTTTGTTCCAAGGGTTTAAGGGTAGAGAAAAATTACTCTATGTCATTGAGTGTCAAGCCAGTAGATAGTTGCCCCCATATTCCTAGGCAGCCAGAACTTCTTCCACCTATGCAACTCTCTTTTTTCTCAATTGTTGGCTAGTATAATTGATTTCTTACACACACACAACTCAATCGCCATAAAAAAAATCAATTCCAGCAATAATTTTGACATATATAGTATTTCAAATCTGACCTGATTTTTGCCAAAATTTTACATATAAGATAGAATTTTGACACAATTTCAGCAATAATTGACACAATTTCAACAGGATTTTTTAACATAGCACCACATATAAACATGTCCAAGCATCACAAAGTACCACATAGTCAACAACAACACATTACATGTCCATCAAAAGCAAGAGCTATCACAGTACCACGTAGAATCTCTCAACCTGAAACTGAAGGTCACCTTTCCCTACTTACGGAGTATAAGTTTGGCATATATAATCAGCCGGCTAGAAAACGGTCGGCGAATCACACCAACACGAAGATTTACACGATGACACGATGTAATAAATTAAAATACAAATGCCACCATCTGCTTCATATAGAGAAATGATAGGCATCTTTCTGTTTCTTCCCCACTGTAATTGCACGTGGAGGGTGGTAACTGGTGAAGGTATATACAGTGTTCGACAACTCAAGAAACGAAGTCCCATGAAAATCAAAGAGGATTCTGGCCTGACCTCGGCAGCAGCCAACATGCTGATTAATAGTTAAAACTCCGTACATTTCTCCCCATTTGTTGCAACATACATACAAGAAAACCTCTCTGGTAGTACGGTTGTGTTGGACCTGCCATATAGCCAAGCCACGGTATGCCGCTCCAATGATGCTGCTGCAACAAAAAAATTCTTTATGCGGAACTATTGAAAGGGATAAAAATTACAAGCACATTTGTGTAGAATCAGCCATGAGTCAGAGACTAAGAGCAATCACATTTCAATGACCAATAGCATCCACAGCTTTCATCCATTAAGCCTGTCTAGAACTACTCGACTCCTGCATTTCCCCAACTCTTTCGATGTCAATAACTCCCTGTGATATCATTGAAACAGGAAAAATAAGATAATCATTCAACAAGGAATGAAGTAAAACCTTGTCAGAGAAAGAATGAAGTAAAAAAAAAGAGTATCGAAAAATGTACACAGGGTACCCTTTTTCTGGTATAAACGTATTTTACTGTATTGAATGGCAAATGTATAAATAGTGCCATAAAGAGTAGTTGAAAAGGACAGTTACTTTACCGCGTCAGCAGGATTTCTCTTAGGTTTGTTACCATTCGAGGTTGCTCGTCTAATCGGTTTTCTTTTCTTGTGGAAGGATCCATGGAGAGAATCCATCACTGAACTTTCAGGCCATTTGCCACTTCTATCACTTGGATCCAAGTTGCTAGGGCCCCAGGTATACATGACAAACTTCCTCACCTATTAGGAAGAAAAATGATATGCTTGATCAGGGATGCAGTCTAGTAGGTACAATGTTCATCATTAGATCAGGACATTCTTCACCTTATCCCAATTCTGTTGAGCACGTCTTTTCCTCAGTATTTTTAGCATTCTGGAATCCTCGTCTCGAAGCTTTTTTATCCTAGCTTCACACTGGAAAGACAAAGCATCAATTACAGCTGCATACTAAGTCATCTTCTTTTTTGCCGGAATGACCGAAGGAGGTCATTCAATGTAATTAAGATAGGAAGAAAAGGTTACAAGAAAAGTTTTACATCGACAGCTGGCTGTCGAGGAAGGATGTGCACCAGAGCACACGCCTTGAACCATGATAATGAGCGGAAATTGCAAGTATGTTAATTCAATTCATTTAAAAAATATCAGAAAATTTTCATGGCCTATTAGTAATTCTGAGTGGAACAGAAAACCCCATAAAGATGCAAAGATTCAGAGGTCAACAAGTGTTAGGCTAGTTAAAACTCGAAAGTGAAAAAAAAAACTGGCAGTTTATCTTAAACAAACAACAGGGATAGATTTGTGATGACTTACTTGAGCCATAAGGCAAAGAAATATTGCCACACTGAAGGCATAAAGGCCACCAATACTTGCAAGTATACTGACTGCAGAAAATAAGCATATTAGATACTAGTAATACAAACTATTCAGATTAGTAGAAGCCCAAAAATTTAAAAAAGCCATCATGGAGAAAATATTTGCACCGGGATTTCAAATATTTGTATTGGTACTTAGTAGCGTAAATCTTAGTAACATTAACACCACAATTCACAAGTAAAGAGACTTCATTTTCAATAGGCTGGAAAGATGACTTATGTAGGTATCAACAATCACTAGAAAAGCTCACCTGGGCCTAGCACATTTTCGTTGCTAATCTCCACAATGTAGTTGGAAAGATAGCTTATGTAGAGTGTAGTATTTATTATTCCATCCATAGGGTTTTGCAAGGAAGCATTCAAGTTTCTAACATTTGAAAAGGTAGAACCTTGAGTGAAGTCCTGAACCAGAGGTTGCAGAAGCTTCAAATTGTGATGATTGATGTATGTTTGAGGAAACAATTGAATCTTGAGCACATTGGAATCTCTCCCTCTGAATGTCTTCAGCTTGTCATCAGTAAAATTGTCGGAGTTTATAGTTCCACTGACAGAGCTCACATGTTTGTCATCTCCATGTTGCTTCGCAGTGAGATTAAACTGGAAGCCAACAGCGGCAGCTGGTTGCCTTGGCAGGTCAATAAATTGCCAGGATACGTAGTGGTCTCTTGGCGGGATTCTGCAGCCATTGCACTTGAGTGAAACAGATGGCCCCTGGCTCGTGTTCTGGCAATTGTATGTCAACAATGTTGACAAAGGCAGCAGCCTGAAGTCCATAGATCCAGGTGTTCCCATTGCAATTGTAGAAGGGGCAACCAACTGAGAGCAAGACATGCTAGAGATGGTGGTTATGTGGAACTCGATATCATTGACAAAAGACAACAAATCAGGAGCATTGGCTGGTTTGACCCGATGCACTTCAATGTTGCGTCTTTGGATGGCTTGGTACAGCAGCCTGCAACAAGCAAGGAAAGAAGACACCCTGTTAGTGAGTGAGTAACAAATTCCTTCCAACACTAGACTTTGTTAAGCACTTACACAGTGACTAATCCAACGAAGAGTATCAAGCTAGCTACTGAGCACGTACCACCCAACTCTGTTTTTCTTTTCCTCAGTACTTGCTGGTCATCCTACAGTACGGCAAGGTACATCAATATTCAATGCAACTTGGAAAAGTAGAAATTAGTGCAGAAAATAAATTTCCTTGGATATAAGGAGTGTTCGTAGTGTATAATGTATAATATCCATATCCAATATCTAATACTGGTAAGAAAGTGCAATGTGCCGAAGTAGGAAGGAGCGGCAAAAGGAGTGTGATGGATAAGAAATTAAAGTAGTAGCAAAGCAAAAACTTGTTCCTTAGGAGAGGAGATTCCTAACAAGCGAAGCAAAGCAATCCTCAATTTCGACATGAGTAGAAGGACTCAAAAGCAATTAATTTGGCCTTGATGAAAATCTAAGTTCGGCGAGGGCAAAAGAAATTTGTAAGAAACAAGATGTTATTAGTAAAAAAAAGGGGAAAAAAAGAAAACTAACCGCCCAGTGGGTGGTGTCGTAGATGCAGTCGAGGCGGCTGACCCAGAAGCGCGCGCGGAAGAGCCTCTTGTTGCCGGTGGGGTCGTGTCCGGTGAACCTGGCGAAGGCACAAAAGGCAAGCCAGGAGAGGAGGGCAGCGATGGTGGCCTCGAGGAGGAGGGCCTGGGACTGGGTGAGGCGGCGGACGACGTCGAGGGAGAGGACGGGGGTGAGGAAGTAGAAGCTCTGGTTGCGGGAGGCGCCGACGGAGCCGACCTGCCAGCCGCCGTCGGGCAGGCCGAGGCAGGTGCCGTTGATGGCGGCGGAGAGGTAGAAGCCCGGCTCGCAGGCGCAGAGGGTGGCGTTGGAGGCGAACATGCGCGCCGCCGTGCACGCCATGGCTTAATTTGGCGTGGCTTAGCTTAGCTCTCGAATCTCAATTGAGGGCAGAGATTGGATTGGATGGGAAGATAGATATGGAGGGGATCCATCAAAGTTCGGAATCGGATGCTTGTCTCCTCCTAACTTGTTTATCTCTTCTCCTTCCTTCCTTCCAAACCAACCTACCCTCCCTCTGGTTGCCTCTCCTCGCCTGCTGCAGCCTGCACAGCAGAGGGAGGGATCTTTGCTTTGTATGTCCTGACTGGAACAGAAGGGAGGAGAGGACTAGAGGAGACAACACAGAAAATACAGAGTCCTTTTGCTTGTGCTGGCTTAGCTGGCCCTGATGAGCTTAAGAAGAGAGAAGAATCCTCCAGCTCAAAAACAAAGAGAGAAAAGAAAAAGAAAGAGAAACTCTCTCTTTTTTTCCTTGTGTAATTTTTACCTAGGTAGGTCAACTGCCTTCTCCCCTGGCCAAGGAGGCAAGGAGCAAACAAAGCCACCACTTGTCATCTAAAGTCAGATTCCATTTCCCTACACTTGTGAGATCAAGCCTAATACCTTATATTTATATATAAAAGGTTTTAAAAAAAAAGTACCTTATAAAACCTTGCATGAAATCGGAAATGCATTTCCAGCGCGCATCTTTTTTTTTTCAAAAAAAAAACTTTCATCCGTAAACTTTTATCTGAAACTTTCATACGAAAAAGTGTGTGCTCGGAACGCACATGCACGACTTTTAGACTTTCTTAAGAATTAAGATTGTAAACTGACATATTCTTAGAATACTAATTCAGTTAGGCCCAACTACCATAATTATTTTCTTTCTGCCTGCTGTTCTTTTAAAACAACTTTCTGCTTGCTGTCAATACAAGAAAAAGGATACCGTAACCACCAACAAATGGATTACTTAGGAAAACCCAAGAAGCTTCAGGTCTTAATCCATATCAATCAATTGGTTTCTGTGAGTCTAGGTTTGGGTAGTAAGTTGATCTTCAGATATCACACAACGGCTAATGAGCAACCTGCTAGCTCGACTTCAAGCCAAATCAAGTCAAGCGTGTGTATGCCTTCCCAATGCTTCCTCCTACTCTTTGCCCTTCCCAGACAGGATCATCACTCAAGTCCAATCTAACCAATTCGAATCTGACAAAATTCACCACCCTACTAACTTGAGCTGAGAGCTCATCCATGTTTGGGACCAGCTCTGAGCTCTCTCGTCTCCGGATCACCCCAGCAGACAGATCTAATTAAGCTCTACCAAAGGGCCAACCATGCCATGAAGAAAACCATCTTCCACAGCTGCGTTATCTGAGAAGCTTCTGAGTATTGGAATCTATGCGATTGCTCCCTGCACGGAATCAACAACAAACGCTATACATGTTATATAACAGGTAGGCATCCCTGAGCTGCAAACTGAAAACCGCTGTCATGAGAAGCCTCACTTTTGTAAACTTGACAGCGCACCACAGAAAATCGCGTTGTCGGGAAGAGGAAGCACGGTCTTGTTGCTGCTATCCTCCGGGTTAACCACACTGATGTACACTTCTTGCCCCAGGTACCAGGCGTCCAGGTTCTCCACCCGCAGATTCCATATACCCGCATTGTCAAGAAAGACAAGGACAGCCGTCCAAGCGCCAGGGAATACCTGCAGTCTTGCACAAAGACATGTCAAGCTAAAGGCTGTACCAGAATATTGTATAGAGTTCATGAGTAGGTTATATTTCAGACAGTATTTCCTGAATTCGAAGGTTTTCTCAAGATAAAATGCAGTCGTCTGAAACTTTGAACCAGTGCATGAAGTTTATCACTAACCAAACAAACAATGAGGGTTTCTATACCATCAAAACTGCCATGCCCAAAGGAATCATTGGTTGACCACATAATTAGCCACTCCATATCTGAATGATATGGATATATGACAACATCCCCTCAAAAAACTAACCACCCCCATAGAAAGACATACATGATTTTTCTACAAGAAGGTGCACCGTGCCGCTCTGTTACTACATAGTACGAGTCCCACATATCGGCTGCTAACTTCCATCTCCATCAAGTAACAGATGTAATAGCACAGTACTAGTTTCTTTGGGTTTCAGGCAGCAGACTAGCTACCAGGTGTCATAGTTAAAAACCGGCATCCATAGAAAGCAATGGGAGACATGAAAATTTTGAGCACCTGAATTGTGGAGCGTGCAACGCCATCCCATTTGTTGTATGTACCGCGGCTGTTGTCTGTCCACAGTCCATAGTCCATCCTGAGAGAAGTAACCACCATATCCATATATAAGTAAATAAGTAGTACATCCAGGGCAGGGGAAAGGGGGAGTGCTGCAAGCTTTTACCCAACAACAAAGAATGCATATCCATCCAAGTGGTAGCTCTGCACGGATGTGGCGTTGTTTTGGAATATGATCTCCATAAAGCCTTTGTAGGTGCCATTGATAATGGAGGTGTCAAGCTTTGGTAACCTGTTCATAGGACGATTAGGAAAATCCAGTTTGTAGACTCCCGGGACATTAAAGAGCTGAGCGAGCATCAAAGGAGTCGATGGAGCAATATAAGAAATTCCATTGAGAGTAGCACGCATCTGGCCGTCTATGAGCTCCGGTGGCATGCTCTGCAGCAGGTACACATCGGTGACGGTAATGTCGCCGTAATGGAATGAGCCCTGCGGATTGGGGCGGGCACCACTGGCTGTAACATTCCATCTGGGTGTGTGTGAGAGAGAGAGAGAGTCAATGAGAGTGAGTAGGACCGATGAATGAATGGATGAGCAGTAATGGCAATGCAGGCTACTGACCTGATTGATCTTGCTTGGTTGATGGAGAAAGCGGTGTCGTACTGGTCATCTGGGGCATCAGGGAGAGAGCCAGAGGGCGGGCCCTGGGAGTTGGAGTAGTGGAGGATGGCGACGCCGGTGAGCTTGTCGGCGTCGGGGACGAAACGGGCGCTGGCGACGACGTAGTAGTCGGTGGAGGCGTTCTGGTCCATGGTGAGAAGGAAGGAGTAGGACTGGCCGACATGGATGTCCATGTTGGTGTAGTTCTGCTGTGAAGTGTAGGAGCCCTCGGCCTCGACGAGCAGCAGGTTGTGGCCCTGGATTCTGAAATTGAGGCTGGTGGCGACGCCGACGTTGTGGACGCGCAGGCGGTAGGTCCTCCCCGGGTCGACATTGATGCGCTCGTAGGTGACGCCCGGCGGGACGAGGGTGTCGTTGTAGCGGTAGGGGCCGAGGGCGTTGATGAGCACCCCGTCGGGGGGGCCGAGGGGGTCGCCGGCGTCGAGGGCGCGGCGCAGGGCCCTGTGGTCCCTGGCGTACCAGTCGGCGAGGAAGAGGGTGATGTCGCCGCCGTCGGGGAGGGGGAAGGGCAAGGGGATGACGTCGCGGTTGTTGATGGTGATGGCGCCGTAGCCGCCGGCGGCGCGGTGGAGGGCGGTGGAGGGGGCGTAGAAGAAGCTGCCGACCTGGTCCTTCACCTGGAACTGGTACGTCCAGTTCCACCCCGGCGGGATGCCGCAGTTTGTGCCGCCCACGCCGTCCTGCCAGGGGCTCTTGCGCTGCTGCACCCCGTGCCACGTCAGCAGCAGCGGCTCGTCCAGGCCGTTCCTCACGTTCACCACCAGGTTCCAGTTGGTCGTCACGTTCAGCGCCGGCCCCGGCAGCTGCCCGTTGATGCCAATCGCCTCCTGCTTCTTCACTCCGCCCAGCGGCGCACCCCACACGTACGATACCTCCCACTCGTAGTAGGCATAGGGATCCCCCGCCCCCGCCCACCGGAGCAGCACCAGAAAGAGGATGCCGAGGATGCCTCCGGCAGATCGACGGCGAATCGAATCCATCGGATTCGAATTCGAATTCGAAGCGGAGGTCAAGGTGGGGGGTGACGGCGAGTGGAGTGAAGCGGGGACTGGAGTACAGCACGACCACCCACAAGTAGGAGTGAGTCCCAGAACTTTTCCTTTTCCTTTTCTTTTCTTTTTTCTTCTAAAGAAAAAAAGGAGCAGTTGAGTGAGAAAAAAAGAAAGAAAATAGTACTCCTCCATAGTACAAGGAAAAAGATAAAGATACTCCAAGAAGGAAAGGAGAAAAAGAGCGGAATATAGGGAGGAATAAGTTCACCTCAAGTCAATAATTCTATAGTTGGAACTGCCAGTCGATTCGTCCAAGTTGCAAGGTTAAAATTTGATGAAGCATTCAACATTTATTATGGTAATGTCATTTACATATATTCTTCTTCGGACACCAGACAATAAAGTCGCTAAATAGTTAATATTTGGCTATCGAAAAATTAAAAATTAAACTAAACAACATACATGACTAAAATGTAGGTGTGCCAATTGGCACACTATATCGTAACTGCTCAACCGCATGCCCATGTTCGGGAGAGGCCGCGTCATGGCCGAGGGCGACGAGTGGGCTCGCCACCGCTGCATCGTCGCCCCTGCCTTCTCCGCCACCAACCTCAACGTAATCAACCAATTAATTCATTCTCTCCATGCACAAGAACACGTGCACTATTCTACATGATGCTAATTGATGGCTACATATGTACCTGTTGTTGATGATGCAGGACATGATCGGCGTGATGGAGGAGACGACGTCGAAGATGCTCGGCGAGTGGAGCGACATAGTGGCGTTGGGACACAGCTGCATCGACATCGAGAAGGGCGTTGTCCGGAACGCCGCCGAGATCATCGCCAAGGCCAGCTTCAGCATCGCCGCCGACGACGCCACGGTCTTCCACAAAGCTGCAGGCGATGCTGTTCCGCTCCACGCGTGCGTCTCGTCAGCGTCCCGCTCGCCAGCCTCCTCCATATCCGCGCGGACCGCGCCACCTACGAGGCGTGGAAGCTGGGCCGCAAGATCGACGCGCTCCTGCTCGACATCATCGAGTCGCGGCGGCGGTGTGAAGGCGGCGGCAGGAAGACGACGACGACGGACCTGTTGTGGCTGCTGCTGGCCGGGAACGAGGCGAGCGCCGCCGCAGAGAGGAAGCTTACGACGGCGCTGGCGCTGTCGTGGACGCTACTGATGCTGGCGACGCACCCGGAGTGGCGGGCGGCGGTGCGGGAGGAGGTGGAGGAGGTGACCGGTTGGTCTGGCCCCATGGACGCGGCGGCGATGGGAAAGCTCACCAAGATGGGGTGCATGCTAAACGAGGTGCTCCGGCTGTATCCGCCTTCGCCGAACGTGCAGAGGCCGGCCGCGTGCGATGCGGAGGTTGTGCGCGGGAAGAGGTGAAATGCGGCATGGGGATTAGGGATTTCGGCGAGCCAAGAAAGGGAAGGGGAATCGGCCGACACACCCTCCGCTGCCGCTCTGGCCCTCACCCGCTCGCCGCCGCCGCCGCTCCAGCACCTGTCAACGTCCTACCCACCGCCTCCAGGGCCGAAGGGGAAAAGAAAAGAGAGAGATAAGAGAGAGAGAGGAGGAAGAAGGATTAGAGAGATGATCATGTGAGCTCCACATATATTTTTAATTCTAATGCCACATAAACGCCAAACTTTTAAGAATCCGTCCTATCCGGTTTTCTGGTTAAGGGTTACGAATTAGATTCGGCCTACTTTTAAGAAAGTTAAAGTTTGACTTTTTCCTTTTAATAATTAGGAAATCTAGAGCATTTGATATTGTGGTTGAGGAATCCATTATAAGGAAGATGACTCGCCGGCCTAGTTGAAAACCTACCCTGGTTGGGCTCTATCGTATTGGGCCGCAAAGTATGCTGCCCAGTGCCCAGCCAGGGCTGTTTTTCCCTCTAGCAAAAAGAACAGGTGCCAGGAAAAAAAAGAACAAAGTGGCAGAATTCCTCCATTTTTTACTGTTCTGTATTGAAACGACTGCGTGATTACCACTAGTGCTTTATACACATTCCTCATTCATTCCTTCTCTCTCCACCAATAGCTGACGCAAATTGTTTGGCAAAAAGAAAAAACAACTAGTACTCCACTTTTATCAGAAATCACCACGGAAAGTGCCAAGGCAGATGGGCTGGCACCACAAAAACAATGACAACATCGATCGATGCTACACCAACATGGCGGTCTTCTCTATTATCCTTCCACCGCTTCGTCTCTTGTTTTCAAGTATACTGTGCATATGTACAGATTCCCTGAAACAAGACAAGCAGATTATGTACGTCATCCATCTCTAACAAAACATAAACAGAAAGAGGGAATCCATACCGTGAGTATACGGATTTTTTTTGGACTTCTAATGAATATATAAAGTTCCATCACCCATAATTACGAGAAGTTCATGGTTGAAAAACATCTAGTTCCCCAGGGCGATTTCTCAACTTCAGTTTCCACTTTTTCATCATTCCGAGCCCCCCTTCAATAACTGTATCCCAAGACCAAATTAGAACTTACCTTGTAAATATACCTGAAAAACATGGATGGTGCTCATGTATGCTTATCACAATTTACCTTGTAAATATACTTCTTCCTCAGCTTGATAGCCATGCGTACGCATCTTTTTACATTGATCTTCAGCATATTATCATTGAACATCTATGGAAAAAATTGACCAACTCAACTTCAGGAGTGCAAACAATAAACATGCATTAATATGCCAATAAGTTGCATTATAAGTAAACCTGACTATACTTTCCTTAACTCTTCCCATTTAAGTGGAAGACTGCTCAGCAGAGTCAATATCACCACTATATACAGGTTTACCCATCTTTTTTTCCAAGAGGGAGAAAGGCTGGGCATCATTTTTAATTAGCAGTTGCCGTAACTTGTAAATATTGATAGTTATCAGAATGAAATAAGCATCCTCTAATTAAACCCATCAATTCAGCAGAGGACAAAATCAATAGTCATTTATGCAGAAATGATCGGCCATAACATGTTATTGTACTGTCTGAGCAAATTTTTAATTTTGCCTAAAATGAATTCCACAAAATCTAATGCAAATATAGGTAACTCTTGGTAGTAATTTCATGGATCCGAGGTTTGTAAACAATATGAAAGGAAGTTGTGACTTAAACTTGCCTTGATTGCATCATCTATTGAGCGAGTTTCTCTAATTATCTTGTGGCGATTGATTACAAGGATTGCTGCTACGCAGAATATAGGCAGATCATCATCTCCATTCTTTGCTAACACATTTGTGCTTATATGTGGCATCTGCTGATGTCTTGCCCAAATAGTAGCTCCTGACAAGCCACAGAGGGGATTTCTTGTATTGGGTTTCATTCCAAGGTTGCAAGCTACACGCATTTCACCATTTCTATGATGGGGCTTCCTGCTTTTGGACTTTCTTCTTGTGTAACTGTTCACCCGGTGCTCTTCTTTCACCTCACATGATAAATCATTCCTCATATCTACCAGCAATGGCTCCAGACAATTCTCTTCCAAATGTAAAATCACATCTTCATTAAAGTCAGCAGCCCACATCATCTGAAAGCAAGAAGCACGGTTGGTTAACAGATCAAGACTGCAGTGTGAAGAGCATTTTATAAGTAATGTTCCCTCCGATCATAAATATTTGATGTTTAGAACAAGATTTGGTCAAAACTTTTGAAACTGACCATCAATTTTATATCAGAATAAGACTATAAAATCTAATAAGTGTATCATATTATGACACTAATACCTTGCAAGGCAAATCTCCGCATATCTTTTTTTGTGTTTTTATAAGCTACGCATTTGAGCTGTTATTGACGGTCAAAATTTTAAAAGTTTGACCACATCTTGTCCTAAACGTCAAATATTTGTGACCCGAGGGAGTATAAAGTTCACATGCCACATGATATCACAAACATTAACTACAATCGTAATGAACCATCTACCTACACCTCTGATGATTTTGAACCTAAATCGAAGATGTACCCTATTTTACTATTTGAAATATTTAACTAGTAATACAATTTTTGAAATAAAAAAGGCTTAACCAACATCCCCTAGACCTACACCAGCTGACAAACAAACATCCATTAGAGCTTTCCTACGAAGAACAACAACTGAAAAAAGATAATACATGTGTCTTCAAATGCCACACCTCCCACATGCTAAGTGACTCCTCAAAGGACAGCTCTCGACGAAAAAGCACTAGCAGCATCCGGAAAGCAAAATGAAGGCTTTCAGCACCAATTGTTGACAAATGTTCAAATAATTCTACATCAGTTATTTCCATGATCTTCCACAATGCTTGCAACTGCTTCATAACTCCTGTTGGTCCCTCCATCTGGAAATTTTCACGCTGAAGTGGAACAGGGCACATATTATGCATGGAGTAACATAGAAACCAAACTAATAGGCAACAAAATTTGAAATATATGTGAATTACCATCCTTCTCAGTAGCATCTCAAAGCACCAAAAGGCATCTGCATCATCCTCATAGAGAACAACAAAAGGTGAAAGTAGATCACTCATACCTGTTAGCAACTTATCCCATTTAGACACATCAAGAAACCAAAAAGGAAGTAAAAAAAGATGCCACTGAAATATGCATATACCTTGGCAATACCCGGTGGAAGGATCAACCCATGCATAAACTGCAAGTATATCTGACATCCTAGCCATATTTCTTGATTCTCCATAGAAATCAAGATGACTATCCGTTCTAACCACATCAACCACTGTAATAGGTTTTGCAAATTAGAACATAATCACAAGATACCACTGTAATTGCATGATGAAGTGAAGAAAAAATAGAGCATACCAATTCGGTGCAGTGTCCAAAGCCATTCAGAGACTCGATCTTTGCTGGCAACCACACTGTTGGATTTGGTTCCATCAACAAAATCTGCTTCTGGTGCATCAGATATCCTCAAGGAATCTATAACTTCCCTGTTATAGCCATTATCATCTAACCATCTATCCTGCTTGTATGCATCTGAGTGAAAGATGGCTGAATCACTGTTGCTAGCCCTAAACACATCACTGGAGCATGAATTTGACTCTATAATGAGATCTATGTTATTATTGATTTGGAAGCTGTGCATACGTTCATCACGGTGCCTTAATCTATCTTCAGGAACTGAGAAACTACAATGATTTTTATCAACTCCATTGCTGCCCACACCATCAGTTGAGAAAAAATTTGTAACAGGTAGAGAAGGATAATCATCGAAGGTCTCAGTGTCATATCTTGGTTCACCCATGTCATTGTAATCCTGAGAATCTTTTGAGCAATTATTCACTTCTGTAGAAGACACAATAAAATTGGAAGAATCATAAAGAGAGGTATCATTATGTACGTTGAAACCAACTAGTTCAGCTGATTTACTACAGCTTTCCCTTTTTTGTGACTGCTGTGCACCACCGGGGCCATAATCTGAATCTTCTACTAAACTGCCAGCTGTATTTTGTGAAGTTTGTTGACTTGTGCTAACTTCTTCTGCAATGTGGGTTTCTTTTGACATAGTCCTGACATCCATTAGCTTTGATCCAACAGCGTAAGCAAGCTCACCTGTACCAATGCTTGGGTGCATGCTCTGGCACTGTCTAACTAAAATTTGATATTTTTCCCTGCATAGAAGCGAAGAAATAAACGAGGTTACAGGCTTCCATAATTGTCCCACAGGTGTAAAAACTTTCAAAAGAAAGAACACTCAGCAAGAATTTCAGAACTGTACTGATTGCCCTGCTCCGTAGAAATGGAAACAAAGGAATAAAAACACTTGTGCGATGGCATTTCACGGAATTCGCATTCATCAGCAACAATTAGTAGAATCGGTAACAAAGGCAAAACGTAGAATTTCTCGCACAACAATTGGTATGGATGGCATACATGATGTTGGTTATAAATTTGTTGGTCACAAGTGAATAAAACAAGCAGATGCAAACAGAAAGGACTAATCGCACGCCAATCAATTCAACATGAACATATGACGTAATAAGTTTATCTGTAATAGCACAGGTACGCTTCGATAGTTAGACATAAAAAGGAATATAAATATGCAATTATAATTACAGAGATCACAATAAACTAAGGTATATTTGCATTACTAATTAGTGTGCAATGCCAACCCATCTACTTAATTTCTTTAATACGCATCCTTCCATTACAAAGAAAGAGCCATTGGCACTGTTGGCTACCACGTACTACAGAATTTAATGTCCCAGGTTCAAACCCCTATGAACAACATATTTTCTGTCCAGCACCTGCTAGTGAATGGATAATGGGTTTGTGAACAGGCTGTTTGGAACTGTTAAATTTCCAAGAGAATTCTATTCTGGCAACTAGTCTTAGAAATTTTCTGCTCCAGGTTTGGTGGATCATATCCAACCCGATATCACCCACAGGCCATGACCACAAATACCTAGGAATTGTATGCAATATCTAGAATCTCAGTCTTTCATTTACCTCTACCCTAGATGTATTGATATAATCTGTCATATTGTTGTGTGCAGGCACGGGGTACTTATCAAGCCATCTAAACCAAATGGATCATACAACATCAGCACAAGTAGATGTTACATAGACAAACTATGAGTACTGATGCCACCAATTCATCCCCCCAACAATGTGTATAGGAGGTAGCACAATGAAAAGGGGTAAACCCTAAACCCTAATCAAGTTACTTTGAGTGCCTGAAAAAGATTGAGATTGGTACTCCAGATAAACATAGCAACACATTTGTTTTAAACTTTTAATATCATTTTCCATTCTGCACACATGGTTATAAATAACACAAGGAAAATGTAAAGGATAGGAATATTTACCTAGAAGTTCAGTTTTAGTACAATAAACAAAAAACAAACAAATTAATACCTACTCCCTCCTTTCCAAAATATAAAGATTTCTAGGTTGTTTAGCCAATACCAAGGTTAGGTCAAAAGATTCTTTTCCCTTTCTATGCATTTGATTGGTTTGGGAATCACTGAAATGATGGGTATTATGGGAATCAGTGCAGAAATCCTTATATTGTGGTACAAAATTTGAATCCTTGAAATCCTTATATATTGGAATGGAGGGAGTACTACATAACTGTAACATTCATGATTTTATTCTAGATAATAAATGCAATTCATTTATGCTCTTACGGTCTTATGCTTGTACAAAAAAGGTATCCTGGTACTGAAAACAGGAAAGTGTCAAACCTTCTAACAGCTCTTAGTTTCCTCCTATACTCTGAGGTACTACTCAAGGCATAGCAGCCAAGAAGAAATTCCCAAACTTCAGCTCGAATAGTGGGATCCACACCCTGCACATCAATTTTGGGGGTAAGAAATGTTTTAATGTGAAGAATAGTACGATGCGATCTTATTGTTCCTAGTTTATAGACAATTCTTTAGATAGTGCCAGAACACAAAAAAATGATATCTGTGCAAAGCATGAGTTAGGCACGATATGATAATTTTGATGCATTGCAAAGCATGGAGCACATCTATCAGTGCCAGTGGTGTATAGAAAATAACAACACTAATCACTAATCAAGGAAAATAACTACATGCATTAAACTTAGTCTGCTGCAAAAATGATCAATAATCCATGCCTAAAATATAGACATAATTAAACTAAAATCTGATGCCTTTTTTTTCCAAGATATGGCCAATGAACTCTGATTGACCTTCCTATAAAGATACTAATTGCAAAGCTGTGGACGTGTTTGCTGTGGAGACCGTGTCAGTTTGCTTTCACGAAACAAGACTTGATAGCAGCTCATTCCACATCTCCACTATATCTAATTTCTATAAGGTTATACCAAATGGCTTTTCAGTTAGGGGAAAGCTTATGTGAAGGTATGTTCAAATCTTGCTTATTTGAAGCAGTTATGTATTTATGTAACTTTTATGTATTTATAAGCAGTTTCTACACATTGGATTTTTTTTTGTATTTACCCACAAACAAATGTTTATGCCTAGCTACATACACAGGTAAAAGGCAAACACTCTGTGACATAATAGTATAAAGAGCCTAGCCGCTTATTTTTTTAAGAAAAACTAGAGCTACGCAATCATATGCATTAATTTCTTTGAAATTTCCAAAGCAGACACTCTCAAAGAGAACAATGATCATGGTAATAAAATAAACAGTTGTCACGTTCTATTTGATCTTCCCTATTTTACACATTCACAAATGGCGCGTGGGGCATCATGCTCTAAAAGGTAATGTATTAAGACTGAAAAAAAAATCCACACCCTTCAACAGCTAAAATACATGAAAAAACAAGTTTTTGAAGCACAAAAGAAACAATTAACTCACCCCTAAGACAATGAATTTTAGGGCTTTACGGAAACCTATGACCTTTCCATCATTATCAAAACATGTGTGCCATTTTTCCGGTTTGAGCATTTTGCTCCCCTGCACAATTCCAGATGGAAAACAAGGCGTCAGTTTTGCAATTCTGCAGAAAAATGTCGATATGAAGTAAATTGCATATAGAAGACAATCTCATATACTCTGGTGGATAAAAGGATATGATTAGTGCAAATTAGTCTTCTTTCAGTACAATATGTGAGTTGACCTGGAAATTTATTTGAATGGATTGAATGGGTAATATTGTATAATCATAGTGAATCCAGGGAGTTTGACATAATATCTCCCTAAAATTCTCTGCCTGAGGCTACCAATGAACATTTGGACCAGCATAAATAGCATTAAGAAGTATCAAAATGGCTACCCCATTGTGCAGCCTATGCAGCATCTAGCCTCGTGTGTGAGCTCATATGTTTTGCAAACATTATCTTCAAAGCAGCAGTACAACTGAGCGGTACAGGATATACATATGCTAAATGTTGATTGTATATGTATAAAAGTGGCAATAGAAAGTCCCTGGGCTGAAAGTGTTATCTATACAACATATGCCAAATGACAAATAACAGGACTTATACAGCTTCACGGTATGATGATGAATAAATAAGTGATGAAGCAGAATCATATACGGAGTACTAGTATATATATAGGATAGAGCTAGAGAAGCCTTAATTTAGAGAGCAATGGAGATGTATAATGAGAAGTGATGGAAAACAAATTGATGGCATAGAATGTAGACAGCTAATCGAATCCATATCCATATGGAGCTAGAGTAGGAGTAGGCGAACCTTAACGGGGGATGGGTTGAGGCAGGGGTCGCCAATGTCACGGACGAGGGAGCCAACGCCGCGCTGGAGGTTGGCCATGGCGCCGCCCGCACGGCCACCGGCGCCGCACATCCACTTGATGTAGTCCCCAGCGGTATCTCCGTTGTCTTGGCCCGCGGCCGACGACATCTCCCTCGCCGTCGAGGAGCAGCTGATTGCTCCCTATTGGTATTGGATTAGGGACAGGGAACGAAGGGAGATTGAAATCTGATGATGCATGCGACCTGAAAAGCAGGCAATCGAATTAAATCAAATCAAATCAAATCAATCGGGGGAGGGAGTAGGGAATCGAAGGGATGGGATCCCTACCTAGGAAGCCTACCTAGTCAGCTGGTTGTGGCTGGCGGCCTGGTGGGCGGGGAGGCCATAGCTGCGTCGTGGATCCAAAGCTTCCTCAGCGAGGACTCCTTGGTTCAAGGGTTTGTCTGCCTGCCTGCTTCTCTTATTCGGTAGTCTTCAATCCAACTACCGAATGGGATGGGGGGATTGGACAGGAGGCATCGATGTTTCTGTAGCTCTCTCCGCCGTCGATCATCTCCGCCTCCGTCGTGTTTCCTAGTGGGGAAGTCGTCGTCTCGTCTTCTTCATTACCAACAAGGACGGTGGTGCCTGTGGGTGTGGTTTATCTGCTCTGTGCTTCTCTCGTTCTCTTAGAGCATCCCCACCAGCTCATCTAAATTTCATACTCTCATTTGGATGGCCATTTAAAAAGATTTCCACTCTATATAACTTTTCACTCCAACAGATCATTCATATTACATCCTACATATACCAACATCCTATATTTTAGTAATATTTTTCAACTACCACACATTTTTACTCCTATTCCTCTCACCTTTCACCACTCAAAAAAAATCTTGGGAAGTGGGTAGTTGAGGATGGAGTGAGGAGAGAGAACCTCCATATTTGGCTTGGGAAGGGCTAGATTTGGAGGACCTCCAAAAATGAAGCATGTGATGGAGACTCTGCTGGAGCACTGTTTTTCTCCTCCATACTCCAAATATCGGATGGATGCCTAGATAGAGGAGCTGCTGGGATGCTCTTACTGCTCTCTTACTGCTCTCCTTTTCATCACTGTCACAGCTCCCATCGGATGGCTTATTCAGCTTCCATCAGATGGCCTATTCAGTCAAAGAAAAAGCCAAAATTTAAATTTTCAAACTTAATTTTAATATTGATTTTAAGATATTTTTAACGTAGTTTATTTTTAAGCATTGGCTTTTAAGTCACCGAGAACACATATATAAAAGTTTTACCTACAAATTTATTTTTATTCTCTAACTAGCAAAATGCCCATGCGTTGCAACATGTGAAGAAAAATGTTTTAATGAGTATGATGGCTATGATAGCGCAAACTTCTTAAGAGTATACATTGTATTTTTTTTCTAATATTCATAGTGTAGGTGGAATTAGAGTTAAAAATGGTTAAGAGCATGTCTATTCAATAATCATCTCTAGTCTATAATAAAAATATCATCCGCATGGTTATGCTTTTCATCAAAACAAAATGTAACAGCCAGCCACGCCATGTCTCGCCTCATTGTCGCCATCGCCTCATGTGGCTCAACCCCTCCGCCCCGAGCTTCGCCGCTGGTTCCATCGCCCATGAGGCGAGCTCTGTTGCCGTCAGTTGCCACTCCTCCCGTTGAATCAAGAGAGGAAGAATAAGTTGAGGGAGAGGGGACAGCCGAATCTGCGGGTGGCGGATCCAACGGTGGCTCGGTTCATGGGCGGTGGATCCATTGTCGGCTAATTGACCAACCAGTCACACCATGTCACGCCACGCCTTGCCTCGTTTTGCCCTCGCTCTCGCCTCCTTTTTCTCTAGTGGCAACACAGCTTGAGTTGTGGGCGACGGTACCAGCGGCGGAGCTCGGGTCGCGAGCGACAGTACCGGCAGTGAAGCTCAGGGCAGTGGCATCAATCCACAGGAGGCGTAGCTCGGTCGCGGGTTGTGGGTGGTGGATCCAACGATGACTCGGGTCGTGGGCGGCAGATCTGGTCGGCTCGAGACATGGGTGGTGGGGTAACTCTCGTGGAACTTTTTTTTACGATTGTTACTTTTTGTCTCAAAAAATATTAAAGTATAAGTTTCAGTTATTTTGATATCAACAATAAAAGATGTTCCATAAAAGATCTTAATACAAAGTTAAAAAGAAGAGAAAATTGTGTGGTCTGGTCTATATCCTTATCCTCTCACTCTCTTGTTCTCTATCTTCCATTCTGTCTCTCTTGAGTTACTCTCCAAGCCGGCCGGCGTTGCATCTCGCTCAGAGCCAGCGCCGGTGCCCCTCTCGCGCAGACCTACTGTCGATGGCGATGGGAGGGTCGGATTCGGCGACTTCTTCCCCTCCCGCACGGATCCATGATCTCCACTCCCCTCTCGCCCGGATCCGTCGCTGGCGCCTGGATCCCGTTGTCTCTCCGGTTCCTCTCGCGTGGATCTATCGTACTGTCAGCTGTTTAGGGTTTAGGGTTTAGGGTTTAGGGTTTAGGGTTTAGGGTTAGGGTTTAGGGTTAGGGTTTAGGGTTTAGGGTTTAGGGTTTAGGGTTTAGGGTTTAGGGTTTAGGGTTTAG